GATGGAACTCTACACGGCTCCCCCTCTTCCACAGAATACAGACTAAGCTTAGTCTGATATTCAAAGCCCTTCAGAAGCCAAACCCAGCTAACCACCAACCTCTTCTCTCCTCCCATCTTATACTCCTGTCACACAAGCTACATCTTATTTTGCCAATTTAACAAATTTGTTCTTATCTCCAAGCCTTTGCTTGGGCTGTTTGCTCCCCTTGTCTCCCAAATTCCCACTTAGCTTGAGCTCCTATTCATCCTGTAAGACCCACCAACAAAAGCCCTCCTACAGAAGAGGATAGGGGAGATCTTACCCCTGCAGAGACTCCCTCTGGGCCAGTCCTTACCATGCTGGGTTGAGCATGTGACTGGCTGCCTCCCCCCTCACACTGGGATCTTGGAGCTAAGTCCTCCCCAAATCCTCCTACCATCACCCTGATAAATGACCCAACTCTCGCTCCTGCCACAGGCCTGGACCACAATGGAGTGCCTCCTTCTGCCAGAAGGGGGCCCCTGCCCCTGGAGATCACATCTGGAGGGGGCTCCCAGCAGCCTCTCCGGGGCCCTCCATCCTCAGCCCTGAGGGTCAGCAGGCGCCCCCGGGCACGGCCCCCCTCAGAGCACAACACAGAATTCCTTAATGTACCTGACCAGGGTGTGGCAGGGTAAGTGATGAAAGAGGCAGCCCCAGGAGGTGGACAGGGGGCAGGGGAGTGTCTGGGCCTTCACAAGCGCTCCCTGTACCCACAGCATGCAGAGGAAGCGCAGTGTGGGGCAGCGACCTGTGCCGGGCGTGGGCCGACCCAAGCCCCAGCCTCGGACGCATGGCCCGCGGTGCCGGGCACTGTACCAGTATGTGGGCCAAGATGTGGACGAGCTGAGCTTCAACGTGAACGAGGTCATCGAGATCCTCATGGAAGGTGTGTGTCCCAGGGCAGAGTGGGGAGGAGTCAGAACCCTGCTTGGCAACCCCCCATTCCTGCACACCTTTCCGGAAGAGAACAGAAGCAACCAGCCCCCACCAGAGATACTCTCTTCTGGGCCAGTGGCTGCTTAAGCTAGAAGTCCTCAGGTCTGGAGTTTCCCTCCTAAGGCTCTCTGGGGGCCTGGCCTCACAGCAGCATGCCCAATCCCCTGGGCCTCATTTTTCTCTCCCGTCAAGCCCAGGGCTAATAGCAGAACCCACCTCAAAGAGACCCCTTGTGAGTAAAAATGGGTCGGTCATGTCTGGATGGCCCAGGCCACCTTCCTACCTTAGCCCCCTGGGCTGCCCGCCCCTCCCAGAAGGGCTTGGGACTCAGCAGCACCCTCTGCGGGTAAGTGGGGAGTCCCAAAGGGGTCATTCACTGGTCCATCCTGTGGAGGGGGGAGGCACCTGTAGGAAAGGATGAGGGACGAGCACAAGAGAACGGTTTAGAACATGACAGAGTGTGGGGCAGTGGCAGGAAAAACCACGAGTTCGTCCATCCATCCCTCCTTCCACCTGATGACAGTTCTCTTTTCAGCATCTGCCTTCTGCCACACCAGTGGCGATGAATAAAACAGGCGGGGAGCCACATGAAGGCTTCCTCCTGGGTGGGCCGCACACCGCCTCAGGCTCCTCTCTCGCCCACAGATTCCTCAGGCTGGTGGAAAGGCCGGCTGCACGGCCAGGAGGGCCTCTTCCCAGGAAACTACGTGGAGAAGATCTGAGAGGGGGCCCGGATTTGGCCTCTTGCCCGCCTGCCTGCCTGCCAGGGAGCCAGGCCCTGCCGGCGAGGGCCTGGTTTTCCTTGGCCACATTAGCCAGAAGGTCTAGTCCTGGGGCCTCCAGCCCAGCCCAGCCCAGCCCAGGCCCTGGGTCTGGGTCTGGGGGTCACCACTGCAGCCACCCCAGGGCCCTGGCATCCCCCATGTCACACGCCTCCTGTGTCAAACAGGGCTAATAGCAGAATCTACCTCCCAGCTGCCTTGTGAGTATAAATGAGTTGTGTCCCGTCGGCAAAGTGCCAAGCACAGTTGGGGGCACCTTGACAAGTGACACTCCCCTTCTTCTGTCATCACTGAGGCAATAAACATTTGCCAGGTGAAAGTGTGAATTAAATTTACTGAGCGCTAACCAAACGCTGAGGGAAAAGCCGCAAATACCCCATTACAGGTGCAAAACTGGGGGCCGGGAGAAGTTTTGTCACTTGCCCAAGATCCCACAGAGCCAAGCCTTGAACTCATATATACCCCCACCCCACATCTCCCAAAGCTGGTGTTTGTCCCACTTGCCCACTCACCCACTCTTGGCCATTTGCATCCTGGCCTTCCTGCAGAAAATAGTCTGGTGGGTCCTGTCATCTTTGAATCTGCAGCCCCCAAACCCATCCAGGACCTGACTGGACCCTGAGGAAGGAGGCAGGTCCCACATGGTCCTTCACAATCCAGCCTGGGCCACCCCTGGCCCCCACACCACCACCCCCATGTCTGTGCTTCCTTAGCCCTCACTCACCTGGAGTCAGAACCAGTTCTGATATGCAAGGGCCCTGGCTTTCTGCACCTATTGTCATGGATTTAGGGGGTCAGCCTGGCCACTGGACTCCCCAGATGTTTGCAAGCCAGTGATGGAGCCTGAGCTTTTCAGAACTCCCTGCAGATGCAGGTGGAACTGCTGGGGATCCCACCATGGTCTGAGCCTAAGTATCCCGACTTTCCAAACAGACACCCACTCTGGGCTCAGACCCTCAAAGAGCAGCCAGTCTGGGAGAGACACAGCCAAACTGGTGGGGTCAGGACTAGGCCAGAGAAGAGACAGGGGCTGGGGCAGGGGAAGGGGATGCAGAGAGAGAGTGGGCATTGCTGGAGGAGCCAAGAAGGAAGAAAAGGGTTTGGGGTCAGCAGATCTTGACCGGCAAACACCACATACAGCGATCCACGCTGTGACAGGAGAACTCCAGGCAGAGGACACCTACCCAACTGGAGGATGGGAGATGAGGTATCAGAGAAAGACTGGCCAGCAGCACCTTCTGCAGGATCTGAACCCTCTCTCTTCTGTCCCTGCTTTGGAAAACTGAGCGTGGCCGAAAAAAAATCCCAAGGTCGCAACTGGGTCTCAACAACCCTTTTATTAGCCAATCATTACACAAAAGCATTTAACCAGTCCCTTGAATGTCCCTGGTTTCCTCCATCTCTGATTTTCGCCCCTCCACTGCCCAACCACCACTGCGCATGTCTCTCTCTGCAACACTTAGACATTAGGACAGGCTGGGGAGGAAGTGCATGAGCCACCAACCTCATCAACTGGGCATTTCCTGGTGCTGAAGAGGAATTGGGGCTTCCACCTCCTTCCTCTCTCCTTGAACTCACCATGCAGGCTGCCTGCCCCCTGACATTTTGGGGTACAGTCCCAGGGCCCCACTGCCATGGCGGTCACCCCATTTACAGGAAGTAGGGCTTTCTGGGCCTCACATCTAGGTTACAGCATCTTCAGACTGCAAACCTCAGAATCACCTTGGCCCTGCCCACTCCACAGCCCCACATCCTGTTGACTTATAGAATTTCTTAAGCCTGGCCCCTCCTCTCCCTTCCTTGGGTCCATGTCCTTCTGAGGCCTCACCCCACCCTTCCCCAGATTGCACCAACCTCCCCTCCACACACAAACACACCTCCACCCTGCATCAAACGATCCGTTTTTTTTTTTAGATTAATGAGTTTTTAACTGTACTAATGATAATCAAAACCACATTTTTTTAAATTCAAACAGCACAAAGTATGAAAAGACAGTCTCTCCCTCACTTGAAAACCTCTGTTCCCCTCCCCACTTTTTTAATGTCTCCTTCTAATGGTATTCTCCACATATAAAGGCACATAGGTACATCTTATGTACACAGATGAAAATACACTGCACATAAAGTCTATACTTGCTCAGAACTCAACAGACACCTCTTGAATGTTAAATGATGTATTATAGAGACCTGAGATCAAAGATCCACTTTACCATCCCCCCAACTGCCCATCCTCCAAACAACACCCAAGAATCAGATGGTGGACCTACCCCTGCTAAAAATACGTCAATGATGAGAACAGAAACCGCACTCCTCTCTATGGTTCATGAGATCCTGTGTGATCTTCCCTGCACCAAGTTCACTTACTGACCTCCACACTCTGCCTCCACTCTGTTCCAGCAGTGAGCTGATCTCCTTATTGGTCCTTGAGAAGCTTGTCCCTCCCCACCTCAGGACATTTGCACAGCTATCCACTTCCCAGAGTCCCCTGACCTTCCATTTGCTCACTCCTTCCTGACCATCAGGTAACAGCTCAAAAGTCAACTCAAGAGAGGCTTCTCTCCCTTCTCTGTGTGTTTTCCTTTGTAGCACTTAATATCCCTAAGGTGGTTTTCTGCATTTGTTGACTCATTGTCTGTTTCCCCATTTTAAAATGTGAGCAGGCCCCTGAGGGCAAGGATGTTTGTCCTGTTCCCCTCTGGGTCCCCAACGCCTCGCACACAGTAGGCGCTCAAGGAATGTAGGATGGATAGGTGACTTATTCCACGCCGGCCCACCCAGGGGTCTCCATCCTTAGGCTACACCTGTCCGGAGGACAGACAGCTTGCTTCCCGCCCCTGGCTATCACAAGGAGCCTATTACAACTTCAGAACTCCGTGCATTGGCAATGTTGACGATCACTGCCAGTTTCTCTCCAAAAAGGCGGCCCCATCAACATCACGTCTTCAAAAAGGAGAGCGGCTGAGAGCTGATGATGGGACGGGAGGGGATAAAGATACCCATTTAGCAGACGAGAACAGAGGCCCCGAAGGATTTTTCGCCAGGATCCCTGAGCACAAGGTGTTTAAAGGTGCACTCTTTGATAGGTCTGGGCTTGCAAACCCGCAGCACCGCCTACAGAGCTCGCCTCCTGGAGGACCCAGATCTCAGGCCCCACCCCCTCGAGGGGCGCTGTGCGCAGGCCCTGCCCCCGCTCTCGCGAGATCTGGGAGGCGGAAAATGGCGTCGACGTGAGCGCGAGCCCGCGGCCGCCCAGGGAGTCGCCGCAGTCTCAGCCGGAGCCGCCGAAGCCACAGGAATAAGAGGCTGAGCCGAGTCGAGGATGGTGAGCGCGGCGTCGGGGATGCGGGCGCGGCGAAGCAGCGGGTACTGGCGGGGCGCGGCCCTGTCGCACGCGCACCCTCCGGCCGACCCCGCCCCCACATCCGGGCACTCTCCCGTCGCTGGCTGTCACTTGGGGAACACCCCACCCCCGGCTTCCTGGCCCGGCTTCGACTGGGCCACGCCTACAGGACTCGGGCTCCGCCCCTGTTCCTTACACATCTGGGCCCCTAGCCCCTCCGGGTTCGACTGCACAGCTCGAGCCGGGCCGGTGTATGTATTTCTGTCCGCAAACAGTCCACTTGATCCCTCTGGCCCCTCCAGCATGTTCCCAGCGGCGCCCTGTTCGGAGCCCCGTCTTTGTAACCTTCGTCCCGCCCACACCCTGTAGGCCGCGCCCCTACCGTGTAAGGGCCGTCCCACTGTCCCAAGTTAGGGACGAAGAACTGCTACTTTCATAGGAGTAATTCCTGACAGATACCCCCTTCTGCAATTGGGACACCTCCCAGCTCCCTCCCAGAGATTGGAACACAGGAGGCTCAATCCACCCTTATCCCCTGCCCTCCCCTGATGGTGACTCCTTAGGATGGGGGCTGACCAGGTGATTTCTCAAAGGCATTCGCTGCTTCAGGAATGTCCAAAGGTCTTGGCGGGGTGGGAGGGGTTCCCCTGGCTGGCCCAGGCCGACCTGGGCCCAGAGGGGTTCTCCCTGCCTTTTCCTTCCACTAGGAGGAGGAACCCTCGGGGCCCAGCCCGGACATGCCGGCCGCTGCAGAGCCCAGCTTCAGTGAGACTGACAAGGAAGTGTTGTCCCCAGTTGTGGCCGCAGCAGCCACCTCCTCTTCCGTGGGGGAGGAGCCAGGCCCTGAACGGGCAGCCACACCCCCAGCGTGGGACCGAGGAGGGCCTGGAGGGACCCAGCAGGGTGCCCCCTCTGCCCCAGACAGTGTTCAGCCTGGTCCCGGATCCAGCCTTGGCCCCACCAGCACAGTCTCTGGGACCAGCGAGGACTTGAGGCCTCCCAGACGACGCCAACAACCAGGTGATATGTGATGGAGCCTTCTGGGGGTGGTCACAGGCCTTGGAACAATTGAGAGGAGTACAGAGTATCTCCAAACTTGGGCCCCATCAAGAGGGAATCACCATTTACTGAGCACCAAGTGTATGCCAGGCTGTGGCTACAGTGATGTGAGCCAGCCAAGCCAGCCCCTGTCCTCTGGCAGCTCTGTCTGGTGGGGGAAGAAGATGGTAAAGGCCCTGGTAAGAAACCAGTAGGGTAATTCCAGCCTCATATATGCCTCTCTGGGGCAGAACTCTGGACAGCGTGGACGGGGGAAGAGTGGGTGACACCCTCCTTTCTGTGCATCCTGCAGGGAAGCAAATACCCTGCTCCAGCCCTGGCTGCTGTCTCAGTTTCCCCAGTGTTCGTGATCTGGCACAGCATCTGCGTACCCACTGCCCACCCACACAGTCCCTGGAAGGTAGGGCCAGAGTAGGTGGTGCGGAGGCAGTTTGGGGTGGGAGGCAGGCAGAGCCTCCAGGCCGGCCTTGGCCACCCCTCTCCACTCTGTCCTTCATCCCTGCCCTGCCAGGCAAGCTTTTCCGCTGTTCCGCCCTGAGCTGCACCGAGACCTTCCCCAGCATGCAGGAACTGGTGGCACATGGCAAGCTGCACTACAAACCCAACCGCTACTTCAAGTGAGACCCTTACTCTCCTGACTTCCACTGGTGCTCCGTGATCAGGCCTCTGGCAGCTCCTCCCACCCCCGATTTGATTGCCACTACCTGGGGTCCTTCCTGAGGGGAGGGGCGCGGGGTCGGGGGGGAGGTGGCGAGTCTGGCGGTGGGCGTGGCCTCGGGCAAGCCCTGCCCTTACCTGCCCAAAAAGAGAGACTGGTTACTGGAACGAGTCCCAGAGACCCGGAGCGGGGAGCTCGGAAAGGGCGGGGCATACGTCGTGCGTCTCCGCCCAGTTCCTCCTGACCTCCCTAGAAGAAAACTGGCCGTCTAAGTCAAAAGAGACTTCCTTCCTCGTTTTCCCAGGGCAAGGACCCGGAGGGGTCCGGAAGGGTCGCGGCCACATTTGGGGGCGCTTAGAGCAAGCTTCCCCCCCCCCCCGCCGCAAGTGGGGAATCTGTGATTTGGGCCTTAGGCTCCCTTACTTACCGCCCTCGCGCCGCGCCTCCCCAGGTAGCATTGGATAGGCCCTACCCTCGTCCCCCAAGAGACCCAGCCCAGCCCTGTGCCTGCCCCCAGGTGTGAGAACTGCCTCCTGCGCTTCCGCACGCACCGCTCGCTCTTCAAGCATCTGCATGTTTGCGCCGAGCATGCGCAGAGCCCAGCCGCGCCGCCACCCCCAGCTCTAGACAAGGAGCCACCGGCGCCCGAGCGTCCCCCGGAGTCCGACACTGTGTCGGCGCCGGGCCTGCCGTTCCCGCTGCTCGAGCCCTTCACGACCCCCGCCCCTGCCCCCACCGGGCCCTTTCTGCCCTACTTGAACCCCGCGCCCTTTGGCCTAAGTCCCCCACGCCTGCGCCCCTTTCTGGCCGCGGCTCCCGGGCCGCCCGCCTCCAGCGCCGCAGTCTGGAAAAAAAGCCAAGGTGAGTGTGGGAGCAGGGCCGCCTGAAGGGTGAGGTGGGCTCACCCAGACTTCTGACCTTGACCCGCCTGTTTATCTCAGGTGCCGGCGGCAGTCCGCGAAGACCCCAGGGCGGCTCCGACGCGCCTTCAGGTGCGTGCAGGTGACCATCCGGGAGGGGTGGAGGGGATTTTTCTGTCCTGCGCCCTGCTGGGCCCAGGAGATGCTGGGAGGCAGCGTTGCCCGCCCTTTCCCAGGTGGCCAGATCTGCCACCCCCGAAATACACGATTTTTGCCTTAAAAATTGTTGGCCCCTGAGCCTTCATCTGCGCCGGCGTTTCCGTGTAAAACCCGCGCCCGCTTCCCAAGTCCTTTCCGCCTGCGGTGGTTCCAGGGATAGGAGGGGGGGGATTCGGATAAGTCAAGTTTAGTGCCCCCCCCCCAATTACAGGAGGGAACACGCTCGGGAGCAATGGATCAGCCAGGCCAGACCAGCCAGGTGCCCGGGAGCTGATGGGGAGGCGGGGAAAAGGTCTGACCCGCACTCGTCCACGTCCACCGTCCCTGGGGGTGGCCGGGACTGACGGGGTCCCGCCTGCCCGCAGGGCACGCGGCCCCGAGCCGCATCGTGTGGGAGCACACGCGCGGCCGCTACTCGTGCATGCAGTGCGCCTTCTCCACGGCCTCGCGGCCCGCCATGACACTACATCTGGAGGACCACCGGCCCATCGTCCCCGCGGCCCCGGGGCCCGGGCAGCCGCGCCCCGACGCGCCGGCGGGTAAGGCGGAGGAGCGCTCCGGTGGGGAGGGCGGGGGCCCCGAGGCGAGGGGCGGGGCCGAGGCTCAGGCGCCCCCTCCTCTGCCCCACCCAGACCCGGTCCCGCTTGCACCCAAGGTGTCTCCGCTGCTGTCAGAGGGGGAGTGTCCGGTTTTCTCGCCGTTCTGAATCCCGCCGCGGGGGGGGGCGGGGGCGGGGGCGGCTGGACTGTAGGATGCGGGTAGTTTTGTAATTTTAATGGGGCTTAAGATGGAGGGGGTGGGAAGACAATAAAGGAGGCGCGATGAGCCAGCCGGTGCTGTGTCTGGGTCCCTTGCCCCTCCGATGCACAGCCAGCCGGTCTAGCAGTCCTGGGGTGCTCACACCCTGAGAGGGGACAAGCCTCCCCTCAACCTCACTACTCCCCTGTCACTTTAACAACTGGGACCCAGGTCTCCAGCCCAGTGCTATCCTATCCAGCTGTAGTTGGGGCTGCCAGTGTCTCTTGTCCCATTTCCAGAAACCAGATGGGATGGAAACATCGCTTTTATTTAAGTCCCAGGAGTCAGTAAGACAGGCTGGTCCTGAGAAAGTGCTGGGGCTGACCCTGCTGGGGCCCCCCCCAATCCTGAAGCCAGTGCAGACTCGCAGGTGACAGGGTTGAGGTGCTGGAGCCAGGGCCCCCAGGGCTCTGGTTTTGTCTTCGTCACTGTCTTCCACACCCTCATCTTTGGCTGCTTGCTTTGATTTCTGTCCCTATGTTGGCTCTGAGGAGGAGGGTGGGTCAAAGCCAGCCCTAGGGAGCCTGGGCTCCCTTCCTCCTCACCCCTCCCCTGTCTGTCTTCCAGCCATGAGGTTCTCCTTTTCCCTTCTGTCATGGGAAATCGGGCCTGGGTCAGGGTTCAAAATCTGGGGCCACACTGCTGTCCCAGCCCTGTTGTCACCAAACCCAGTGGGCCAAGCCTCCCGAACGTGGAAGTCTTAATGCGTGCTGTTGGCAGCCACCCCTCAGAAGCTAGTTTTACCTCCTGCATCTTGCTCCCTTCCAGCCCCAGGGTCCCCTAGCCTAAGCCCCTGACCCTCTTTCCCCTCCTCAGGTACCTGAAGCAACCCTTCCTGCCCTTCCTTCCCCCCAGTCTGAACACCACAGAAAACAGATCTCTTCTCATTACTGCCTGGTAGTGGAGACCTTGTTCTAATAACCCACAAGGCTCCATCTTGAACACACCCACCCCCTCCCTCATCCCTCTCCTCTTCCTCCTTCTCCTCATCATCCTCTTTCTGGGGAACACAGACGTCTTTGAGCAAGAACTCCCCAGCCTCCTTGCAGTTGAACAGCTCCAAGCTCCAGAGGCCCTTCTGCTTTTCCTGAAAGCCGGGGGGGGGGGGGCAGGGTGCTGATCTGAGTGCTGTTAGGACTGGCCCACCTGCACCCAGGAGCCCACCCGCAGAGCTTCAGGGCTGCAGTGTCATTGCTGGGTCGGAGCTGAGACTCAGCTGGCTCAAGCCAGGTGTCTGTTCTGCCAGCACCTCCAGGCCCATGCTGAGGCAGATATCGCTCAGCACCCGCTGTCGGGCCAGCGGAGCCATCAGGGGACCTTGGGGCTTCAGGACCCCTGAGCTTTCCTCTTCCCAGCCAGGAGCCTTGGAGCCAGGACTTTGTGACCCTGGAGAAGACTCAACCTCCCTGCATCTCACTTTACTAGTCCTTAAGATGGGTGTCAGGATGCTTACCCTCTGGAGTCCTTGTGAAGATTCAAACAGGGACTGGGGGGAGAGGGTGGGGGCTTGAGAAATGTTTGTGAGTGATTCACATCCCTCTGGCTACCAAGCCCATGGCTGCCTGGAACACCCCCCAACAAAGAACCCAGGAAGGAAGTGGGGTGGGATCAAGGGGCCCGTTTTACAGCTAGAGAAGGTGAGGCTAGGGGAGTAGGATGACTGAGCCAAGCCCAGCTCCAGTTCCCTCACTGATTCTGTACCACCCTAGAAGCTGGGAACGGTTCCCCTCTATAAGAAAACCCAGGCAGTGAGGACCAAAGGGCACCTCCCCTTTTCCCGTATCTCCGGGGACAGGGTTCAGGGTTCCCTCTCCCCCAGGAACCCAACCTGTCTCCAAGGTGTCAGAGGCCCTTCCCCCATCAGGCCCCCTCATTCAGCCACCCCCAAATCCAGGCAATGCCACTTCCCAGTCTCTCAGGACCTTTCCAGAGAGTCCCAGAGCCAGTATCTTGACCCAGGTACCCCACCCCACCCCATCACCCTTGTAAATGCAACAGCTTCTACCAAGGGGACAGTGTCGCCTGCCCTTCCCCAGCCCAACAACCTGAAACTGCCCAGAGGCCTAAGGAGCTGGATCATGACCTGACCTGGGCACACTGCTCACTCCAAAAGCACCCTCCCAACTCATGTCCAACTTTTTCAGCTTAGCTGGGAAATCTCCCAGTGTCTCTCCTGGGCTTCCGCAGCCCCTGCCCTCCCTCTGACCAAAGTGAGACCTCAGAGGGCCCCCCTTCCCCCGACTGCAAAAAGCCTGATTGACCGCCAAGTCTTCTTTCTGCCCCAGCTCCGCCCAGCAGAGGGCGCCCAGGAGTGCCAGTCTTGAAGGAAGATGGAAGGACAGGCCAGCAGATCAGGGCAGTCATCCACTTTGCCCAGCTAGCCCAACGGGGGGCTGGTTGATAAGAGACTGCAGGTTTGCACTGAAAAGGCCGAGCCTCTCCAGGCAGCTTACATCAGCTGAGTCTGGCCAGGTGCCAGTCCAGGAGTTGTCCAGCACCAGCCCCATCACAAGACCGGGAGAGGGGAAGCAAGTCTCCTGGGTGCACGTCCCAAAGCCCTGCCTTTGACCTGGATGCGAGCACCCCCATCCCAGGCCCCCGATCCTCCGTGCGCCCCTCGACCCCGAGGATTGGCTGCCCACATGCTCAGTCCTCAACTGCGTGCACTTGGACATGTGGCTGAGCGTGGAGACCACCACCGTGTCTGTCCCCCAACCATGACCAGGGCAACCAGGTGCATGTCCCTGCTCTTGCGCCTGCTCTGGCTCACCAGCACCCCCATGTGCTCAGAATCCCGGGACCCCCTTAGCCCACTGTTCCACAGGCTCCCTGAAGCGAACACCTCCCCGCACTCCCCACCGTCACTGAAACCCCAAGGCAGACCCTTGTGGCCCGGGCTCACTTAGGGCTTCAGGTTCCTCAACTCCATCTGTGGAACCTCCTGCCCAAGTTCATGGCTGCGCTTTGCAGTCCAGCCCAGAGCCACCTGGAAGGCTCCAAACACAAAGGGGAGTGGGGGACGGGCGGGGGGACACCACCTGGGGACCATGGGGGAATAGGGCTTGCCAGGGTGGGACCCTCCAAACTGTGAGTTCCAGGCCTTGGGGGGGGGGGGTGGTTCACACGGGATGGCTGGCCTTAGAGCCTGGGAAGTCACCAGCTTGTCACCAGCATTCAGTCCTTTAGCTTACCTTGATTGGGCACCTACTGTATGCTCTTGGCCAATAATCACTTGTTTCATTCATTCATTTCCCTCATTCACCAAACTCTGGGAGGGTCAGTCAGCCTGTGACCAGCCTGTGCTGGCTTGTCCCAGAGACCCAGGGAGGACCCACTCTCATCCCTGGTCTCCCAGGACTCCTGTTCCAAGGGGAACCCACATCTGGGAATGTGACCCAGGGTCCACGCCTGCTAGTGCAGGATGGGGATGGGCAGGCACAGAGGCTCCAGAATCCTCAAGCTGTGCCTCTTAAAAGACACAACAGGCAGAGTCCTTTCCGACTGTGAGGCCTGTGGCCTCCATGGCAGGGAGATAATGAACGGCTCCAGCTGGGAATGCAGTGTCCTCAAGACAGACTGGATCCTTCTACAACCCCGCTACTCCAGGGCATCACCTGGGATCTTTAGAAATCTGAGGCTCCACCACGGACCTGAGGCAGAACCTGCACTTTAATGGGGTCTCAGGGTGATTCCTGGGCACATGAGAATCACCCTGAGTGTTTAAGAGATCCCCAGGCTCAGGGCACCTGGCTGGCTCAGAGGAGGAGGAGTCTTGATCTCAGGGTTGTGAGTTCAAGTCCCGGGTTTGGTGTAGAGGTCACTTTAAAAAAAAAAAAAAAAATCCCCAGGCTCAGGCCAATTCAGAATCTCCAGGAGCTTCCTTCCATCTTTTCGTAAACTCCTAAAGCTATTTCCATGTATAGCTAAAACTTGAGAATCAGGGCTCTGCACTCTCCCTTTGTCTATGTGTCCAAAGTCACTGACCTCCTGCAGACCAAGCCCTGTGGTTAGGGCTCACCTCTCTCTGGCTGGGCCTCACACCCCCACAGCGCTAGTTCAACCCATCCCCTTTGCCCCTCTTCACTGCTCTCCCTGCTGTCTCCATTTTCTCCCCCTTGGCCCTTAGACGCCCTCCCATCCCGGGGTGGGGGAGGGCAACGCCTTAAGCTACTACCCACCCAACCCACCCACCCCCAAATCTGCCATCCCAGCTGGGCCCTCTGCCCCCCACAGCCATCCACGACCCATGTGACATCTGCCCCTATAATAGGGAAGTCCTGCTCAGAGCTGAGAATCTGACAGTGGGGAAGTGTGGAAATGAGGCAGGCGGATGAGGCAACGAGCCGGCAGAAGGGCCTCACCCATCACGCTCTTCCAACTCCTGAGTCTCCTGGCCCAGAGCTGACCATGCCCCTTACATCCAGAGAACTCCCCCTCCCAAGGAGGCCCTCAGGGCCTGGCACGGAGTCCTCCCTGGAGACCAGAAGTCAGCCAGCCCCCAGAAACAGAGTCAAACAACTGGTGGCCACATTGGGCATGTGCTGACAGCCGATGCACGAAGCACGGAGACCATGGAGACAGCAGCAGGCAGGACAGGAACTCAAGTGCAAGGCAGGGATCTGGGGACAGGCAGGGGCTGTCTCCGCCTCCTTTCCTTCCTCCTCTGTCCTCCCCACCCCGCCAGCATCCCCCACCCCCTTGGGGCCCAGGGAGCAGAAGCCACAGTCACTTCCTGAAGGCACCGGCCCAGCTCAGGTCCCACTTGCCCTGTGGCCCATCACCCGCCTGCAGGCATGGTGAGTGAACCCCCAACCCTAGGAGAGTCCCCTCATCCCCTGGGAAATGGCAAGGGCCATCACAAAGGCCCAGAGGTGGGAGCAGCCAGGATGCATCACTGGGACAGCTGGGGCCCCAAGGGGCCTGTGGCCCAGGCTGGGGCTGGGGCTTGAATAGGGGGAACAGGCAGATGGCCCAGACTACTCTCCTCCCAGGTCAGCATGAACAGCAACCTGGGGACAGGAGGCCAGGGTGAACAGAGGGGCTTCCTGCGGGTGACATAGTGGGTCATGTACCTGCCACCCACCCCCAACCCCAGCAGTCACCCAAGACATGACCTGCTGACCCTGATTTCTCTGGTCCTGTGGGTGACCCGGGAATCCTTCCCCCAACCCACCTGGAGCGGGGCTTTAATAGAGGCATTTCAGGCCCGAGGCAGGGATCACTACCTTTCCTTGTTCTCTGGGTGGGGCACAGACAGGAGCACAGTCTCCACGGTTCTGCCCTTTCACCCTCCCCAGTCTCCAAGGGTCCAGGTGAAGCCAGGCTTGGGGGCCTCTGCAGGCCAGAGCAGGCTCCCTAATCAGAGCAGGCCTGGCCTACTTGTGCACCCGCCTACGTCTGTTACGGACAGCACGGGGCCGGTTGAGACGGTACCTGGGATGGACTAAGTGCGCCACAGACGGTGCACGTGCCTGACCGGGCCGCTGCTTGGGCCGGCTTGCCGCTTCTCCTGGGTGTTGTCGACTGTGAGTGCCCTGACCGTCAACAAAGGGTGTCTGGGACCGTGAGACTCTGAGCCCACATCTGCCTCCAGGTCTCTCTGTGTCTCTCCACGTCTTTCTACATGAGTCTGTGACAATCAGACTGGACGTGGCTGAGTATACGCCTTTGTATCCTGTATATTTCAGCAAACATCTACTGAGCACCAACAGTGTGCCACACACTGGGAGGACAGCAATGAGTGAGCCAAGTCGCTGACCTTCCACAGGGGCGGGGGGGGGCAGAGAGAACAAACAAGCCAAGGCACATATGTGAAATAATATAAAATAAGCTGTATGATACATAGTGGCAGGTACTGAGAGAAAAAAAGTAGGTTGGGGAGAATGGAGAGTTCTGCGAAGGGGAAATCAATTTTTTTAAATGAGGGTGGTCTGGGAGGAAGGCCTCTCTAATTAATGAAAATATCAGCAGAGACCTGGAGGTGGAAGAGGCAAGGGCAGAACAAAGGCCCGAGAGGGGTTGGGGGCTGGGGGAGAGCAGGGGAGAGGCAGAGGCCAGGCCCAGGTAACTGGGTAAGAGAGGCAGATTGATGGTTTAAGGCCTTCTTCATGAGATCTTTAGCTTTTACCATGGGGAAATGAAGCATTGCCAGATTTTGAGCAGAGGGGCTTCCTCCAGCTGCTGGGGGGGAGGGTCCTGGCCAGAGGTGGGGGTGCGGGGGGCAGAGGGGGAGGCAGGAGACCGGGGAGGAGCCTGGGTTCCTCCAGCCAGCATGACAGTGGTACAGGCAGTGAGATTCTGGATGTATTTTGAAATAAGAACAGAAGGCACTAGGGATGTGGAGCATGAAAGCACAGGGTATCTCAAGGACACTTAGAAGGCACCACTAACTGTGGGAGCAGAGGCTATGGGGGAGCCTCGGGAGCCTGGGTCCTGATGGGGGTGAGGTTGTGGGCATATGCAGTGCCTAAGTGGAGAGGTCAGGATTCCAGGGAGCCTGGAGACAAATGTGGGAGGCCCCAGCCAACAGGAGAGCGAGCCAATGACAAAGGGTGGCAAAGAGGAGCTAGGAGAACCCTTGTGTGAGTCCCTGCCTGATTGGCTCTATGTCCCTTAGGGGAGCCATCAGGACTTCCGGAGCCTTCAAGCAAAGTTCCAGGCCTCTCAGCTCGAGACCAGCGAACACCCCAAAAAAACCCCAAAGCCTGAGTTCAACAAACTTCTAAAGAAGTTTCCGCCACCTGAGCTAAGCGAGCACCCCAAGAAGCCCCTGCAGCCCAGCTGCACTGATCTGCCCAGGAAGCCCCCCAAACCTGAGCCAAGTGAACCCTCCAAGAAGTTCCCACAGCTCGAGGCCCCTCAGAAAGCTTTGCAGCCTGAGCCTGGCCACCCTGCCAAGCCCCCGCCAGAGCCCAAATCCAGTGCCTTCCCCCAGAAGCCCCAGCAGCCTGAGCCCAACGAGACCACCCCAAACCCCTCCCAGCCTGACTTCGGTACCCTTCCCAAGAAGCCCCCTCAGCTCGAGTTCAGTGTGCACCCCAGAAAGCCCCCACAGCCTCAGGTCGGCGGCCTCCCTAAGAAATCCCTGCCACAGCCTGATTTCGGTGAGGTCCCTCAGATGCCCCCCTGGAAGCCTACGTCCAGTGAGCCCCAGCCCCACTCCTCCCAGCCCGACTTCAGTACACTTCCCAAGAAGCCCCCACAGCCTGTGTTCAGTGTGCACCCCAGAAAACCCCCGCAGCCTCAGGTTGGTGGCCTCCCTAAGAAATCTCTGCCACAGCCTGAGTTTAGTGAGGTCCCTCAGACACCCCCCTGGAAGCCTGAGTCCAGTGAGCCCCACCCCCACTCCTCACAGCCCAATTTCAATGCATTTCCCAAAAAGATCCCAGCCCCTCAGCTGAATGACCTCAAGAAGCTCCTGCACCCTGATTTTGGTGACCTCACCAGGAGGTCCTCAGAGCCTGAAGTCAGTGTGTTTCCCAAGCGGCCACGGCAGTCTGAATTCAAAGCACCCTCCAAGAAGCCCCTGCAGCCTGAGCTGGGGAGCCTCCCCAGGGTGTCCTCGGAGCCCGAGTTTGGCCTGCTCCCCAGGAAGTTTCTGCAGCCTGAGGGCCAGGGCCCCCCGGGAAAGTTCTCGCAGCCCAAGTCTAGTGCTCTGCCCAAGAAGCACCTGCACGCTGAGTTCTTTGGTGATCTCCCTAAAAAGCCCCCCCTCCCCGGCTCTGTTTCGGAGAGCTCACTCCCCACTGCCGTCACAGCCTCCCGCCCCAGGCTCCCACTCAGCCCTGGCTTTGGAGCCAGGCAGCAGAGGTCAGGAGCTCCCACTCACAGTGGAGGGTCGAGGCTGGGCCTCAAACCCAGCTACCCACCCCGGCGGAGGCCTCTGCCCCCAGTCAGCAGCCTGGGACCCCCTCCAGCCAAGCCCCCACTGCCTCCTGGCCCCAGGGATGTCCAGAACTTCCGGAGAGCCACAGCCGCAGCCACAGGTGGGTCAGGGCAACCCAGGCAGAAAGCTGGGGAAGAGGCTCCCTGGCAGGACCTGCCTCCCTCCTGCTCTCATCCCTCCACAGCTCTGAGGAGGACCCGTTCTTCTGCTGGGATCCACTCCCAGGCCCAACAGACTGAAGACATCCTGCAGTGAGTGTGGGGAGTAAGCGGGCCCTGGCGCAGGTCAAAGGTTGGAGGAGGCCCCTATCTCGGGTATTCCCGCAGGGACCTGGACGAGGTCTACGAGCTGTATGACGATGTGGAGCCCGTGGACAACGCCAGCCCCAGCCCCAAGGGCAGAGGTTTGTTGGTGGTGGGGCTGACCATCCTGCCCAGGCCCCTGGGGACCATTCATTGCAAGGGCATATTCTGCCATGCTGCTGGTGTGAAGCCAAGGGACAACCCATCTCCCTGGCAGTGCCAGAGGAGAAAGTAGAGGGCAGGAAGGGCCTTTCAGAAAAGTCCTACCAGCTCCTGATGGGCAGAACAGGAGGAGGTAGGGCAGCCTAAAGGCCAACAGCCAGTGAGCATGGTGTGGCCAGGGCGGGGGGGGGGGGGGGGGGGGGCGGGGCGGGGGTGGTGGGAGAAGGTGTGAAAGAGCAGTGGAAGAATCAGGAAGTGGACTTGGTGGCATGCGATGCAGGGGTGAGCTGGAGCAAGCCAGCTCATGACACGATGAGGCCCAAGTACCAAGCCTAACGCCTGGGCGCAGACTGGAGGTATCCCTGAGTCGGGGACAAGGTGTCAGTTTCCACAGACCTGTTGTGTTGGAGGTGCTTGCTGGATGTCCAGGTCGGACTTGGGCCTGAACTCAGGCATGGGGTGGAGACAAAGACCCCTGAGCCTGCAGTCCTAGACACTCTATGCTCTGGGGTTCCTAAGGACCCTTTTTTTCTCTCTTCTTCCAAGCATCTGCTCCTGGAGAGCAGGATAATGGCAAAGCAGACATGTCTCCAGCCCAGCTGCAGGGTTAATGCCTTTACCAATTTTGAGTGGGGAAAAAAGTGACTTTTACGCAAGCCTGTACGTGACCATCCCCGAACATGCACAACCACCCCCACCCCCACGGCAACAGCTGACCCCTTGTTCCGGACAGGCCTCAGGTGGAAGCCTGAGGACCCGAGAAGCAACTTGCCCAAGCCCTGAGTTCCCAGACTGTTTCCTGGCCCTATCTCTGGAAGGGCTTCCTACAGGGGAACCTTTTATTAAGGGTGCCTTTGGGATGCTCCCGCTTCCCCCGCAACCACCCACCCTCCGCCCCTGCACCAGGTCTGCTGCCTCTACTACTCTTTCCTGAGCCCCTTCTGCTTCTCCTGGGCTTTCCTCAGGGGCTGCTTGCAACACCCCATTAGCAGAGCTTCCTGACAGGGCTCCTCCTGCTTCCGCTCTGGTGAGGCTCTTGTGGCTGGGGTCTGGGGGCCACTCTTGGGGCCACGGACATGGGGAAAGGCAGTAACTGGCCCACCCCTTCCCCAATCCCAAACAGACCAGGAACATCCCCAACTCTGCTCACTGTCCCTGCCCATGGACAATCGTCTCCCCATTCCATGCCAGTCATTCTGCAAGACTCCAGTCAAATACACTTCTCAGATCTCTTCCTTCCTGAAACACTATGTGGGCCCTCACTGGTAGTACTGATTGTCCCAAAGGCTACTTTGCCCTTTTCAAGTCTAACCGCCCACTCGGCCCCACTCCAGAGGTTCTTCGCACCGCTGGAAGGGGCTGAGGCCAGCAGACCTAGCTCTTACCCAGGATTTCAACAGGTCCCCCTCAGAGCCTGCCTTACCTGCGTAGCCTGATTAGGGTCACACTGCCAGAAGTCTGAGCCGCAGATATGCCAAGTCTGCCCTGCACCACGGCACCTGGGGGCGTGCTCTACACTGTGCTGCGTTTGCAGGGGCCCTAGGGTGCCTCTGGGAGAAGGGGAAGCAGCCAGAGGGAATGTCCTGGGTGAGACTGTAGATGGCATCATCACATCTGAGCACCAGGGCGAGGCTGGAGTCTGGAGCAAAAAGCTGGGGGCTTCAGGTTCTGGATCCTTCACTCAACTGGTATTCATGAGGCTCTCGCCATAAGCCAAACCCCTGGCCATCAGAATCCTCCCTGGAAGGCTGGCAGTTTACCAGGAAGTCAGCCCTCACCGGGCAGACCCCTCACAATTTGGTCTCAGCACCGGCCAGGACAGTCCAGGAACCCCACCCCATCAGGCCCTTCTCAGACGCCCACTTCATCCACTCTAAGAAATGCTTTTGCCTTATTTTTGACCCAGATCCCATGACAATTCCCAGAAGCCAATCTACTCTAGGAGACAGACATGAAATGGCCTCAAAAGCCTGCAAATAAATCCTGCCTGTATCATTTCCAGCCAGATGACCTTGGAGTAGGATTGCTTTACCACTCAGAACCTTTATTTCCCTCATCAATGAGCTGGGAATGACAATATTGCCTACTATCCTAAGTAATAACGTTGTTGTGAGGGCTGAAATGAGTTACTCTAGTAAACAGTTTCTGCCACGCCTGCCATGCAGTAGGAGTTACGAAAACAAGAGCCAATCCACTAGAACTCACAACCCAGGAGAAAGGCCTGGGGAGAAGATGGGCAGGTGGGCAGGGTGGGGTTTGGGAGGGGGTGGATGTCCCGAGAACTGACCCAGGGAAAGCTCATTCAAGATCAAGCCACCAGTGTCGAGAGGGAGGCTGGGCCAACGGTGCCTGCCCTAACTCAGCGCTCTGAATGCTCCCAGATGACATGCCATCTACCCAGCAACCCCCCAGGCCACCACAAGATCCAGAACTCAGGTACCACAAGGCAAAGGGCATGTAACATGGAGGGGCTGAGCTCTGGGAGGACACGGAGGGGGCCCCTGAGGAGCACATCTTCCTTAGGAGCATCCAATTCCTCAGGAAGGAGAAGGCACCCCAGCCACAGCAGTTGCCACCGGCAGACCCAAAGACCCTGAAGCAGATCCGGAAGGCAGAGAAGGCCGAGAGGGAGTTCCGGAAAAAGTTCAAGGTGTGAACACCAGAATCCTCGACACAAGAGCCCTGGAGTTCTGGGCACAGCCCCAACTGACCAAGGCCCCATAAATTCCATCCTCAGAAAGATGGGGTTCCTGGGGTGAAAGCACAAAACAAAATCTCTAACATATCCCTCCCCAGTTTGAGGGGGAGATAGTGATTCAGACAAGGATGATGATCGATCCCAACGCCAAGACACGTCGTGGGGGTGGCAAGCACCTGGGGATCCGGCGCGGGGAGATCCTGGAGGTGATCGAGTTCACCAACAAGGATGAGATGCTATGCCGGGACACCAAGGGCAAATGTAAGTCAAGACAGACCAGAAAGTCCTAGGGAAACAGGCTACCACCAGGGCTGGGAGCTTACCTATCCCACTCTCTTTGCAGATGGCTACGTGCCCAGAACAGCTCTACTGCCCCTGTGAGTGCTGGCCCTGACTGGGGGTGACGGGGAGGGTGGGGTGGTCAGTGGGCCAAGGTGACTCTTACTGACCCAACTGTGCTCTCTGCCAGGGAAACGGAGGTGTATGACGATGTTGGCTTCTGCGGTATGTAGATGCTCTGGGTAGGCTGGAAGGGACCAGAGGTAGGCTGGAAGGAGGTAAACCCCTCACCCCATTTCCCTGAGGGCTGCTCATTATCAGTTTACGGGGAGAGGAGTCACTGCAAATCACCCTTCCTCAGCAGACCCTCTGGAGAGCCGACCATCCCCCCGGGGAACGGTAAGGCCCACAGGTGTGGGTACCCAGGACAACCAGCCAGCCCAGCCACCCACTAACCCAGGAGTCTTCGATCCCAGATTGGCAGTCACAGAACCAGCCAGGCTCATGCCTGCCTACATACATGAACCACATAAAGCTCCTACTGAAAGTGATTCCTGCTTCTTGTCTTTTCTTTCCCTCCTGATTGGCACACAGTGGAGTCATGATCGAACACTTGGGGGTCTGTGAGGTCGATCCCAACCCTCCACGGTCTCACCCCTCAGGGAGAAACACCAGTAGGAGGAAACTGTGGCAGGGAGAAGGTGGCAAGGCTAGGACACCACAACCAAACGTGACAAGCAGTGGCGGCAGCTCCGCACAAGCTGCAAATAGCTGTGTAGCCCAAGCGGACCTACATATGAATGAGATCACATCTTGGGGGGGGGAGAAAAGGGAGGGGTGACCCAGTTCTGACAGAGCCCAGGTATCACGTTCAGCCTAAACCGCTACAGGACTAAATATGCTCAGAAACTCGCACCCTCCTCAGTCTTACTGTAGCAAAGAAAAGCTGCTATGGACTGAAAATATATGCCGCCCCACCCCCACTACAAGCACACACCACAATTCCTATGTTGGAAGCCTAACGCCCAATGTGATGCTGTCTGGGGGGTGATTACTGTCTTTATAAAAGAGGCCCAAGAAAGTTCCCCTGCCACTTCCACCATGTGAGATCACAGCTAGGAAGTACCATCTATAAACCAAGATCAGGTTCCCTCACCAGACATGGATTCAGCCAGTGTTTTGATCTTGGACGTCCCAGCCTCCAGAACTGTGAGAAATACATGTCTGTTGTTTATAAGCTGCCCAGCTTATGGTATTTTTGTTATAGCACCCAAAGTGGACTACGACAAAAGCCAAACTGGAAATGAGCCTGACACAATGTCTGTGCCCCAAAGAGCAACTGCACAGGAGGGAGAGAGAACGGCTCCCAGGACCGCTAATATCCAAGTGCTTTGTTACCAGCACTGGAAAATTCAAGTCCACTCAGGACTCGATTTCCATGAAGAGTTCTCCTGAAGTGGCCGGGGTCCATGCCCTCCACCCTCGGGGTCCACAGACAAAGCAAGAATAGGGATGAGACCTCCAGTGGTCACAGCTTCAAGGGCAGAAAAGAAGACTGGCTGTAGCTCCCCAAACCGGAGGTGGGTGCCCCACAACACACAGGCAAAAAGCAAGCATCTTTTCAGGAACTGGTATTTATTATCAAAGTCATATTCGATGTCAACAAGATGCCACAACTACAAAAAAAATTGCGCACATTGCAATCTCAATGCAAACAGTCAAATGGAACCCCAGTCATTAAAAAAGTAATTCAAATTACCCCAAAAAGCAACTGAATTTTTTAAACATCTTTATACATCCAGCCAACAAATTAAAATGGTTAACAAGAAAAAATACAAATTCAGAGGTCTGGTATCGATGTTTAAAAAAGGCAACTGCTTAAGCATTTCTATCGATTCGAACATCAATCTCTCGGCCACTCAGCTTCATCCCATTCATCATCCGGCAGGCTCTCTCAGCCACCTCTGGCGACTCAAACTTAACCACACCGCACCCCTTGGACTTCCCGTTCTCCATCTTGATGTCGGCATACAGCACGTGGCCTGGGCACAGGGAGGGAAGAAGAGACCACAACTCATCAGGCAAACCCAGAGCTCAGCCTCAGTCTGGGCTCCACTCAGTCCAGATCACCTGTTGGATTTCGGTGGACAGAGTCAAAAGGGAGGGCGGCCCTGGCACACGACTGCTCAGAACACAACAGCCGGAATCCAGCGACTATGGCCCTCAGCCATGTTGCCATTCTTCTGCCAACAGGACAACAATCCACCCATAATAAGCCTTCCTGGCAGCTTCAAATGCATGCTCGTACACTCAATAAAGTTATAAAGGGAGCTGTGTGAAGCCAACCTTATACATGAGTTTTACAGAGGCTTCATCTTCCAGACCCCACACCACAGCATTTACGAGGCCATCGTGATATAATGGACGCTTCTGTACTGTCCACACACAGGCTGCGTCCTATCTCACAAGTGGGTTTCACATATTCATTCAAGTACTGGTTAAGCATCCAGGTATGTGTCAAGCATCACCATGAAACAAGTCTATAGGGGAAGAGCTAAGGACATGACCGTGTAGCCTATGCTAGGGGGCCCTCGTTTCTAAAGCCATTAACTCAGCCCAAGGGAAGGTCAACATCTAGAGGGCTTCTCATGGGACAGTTCTAAAATACTAAAGTCCACCAGAAGGTAAACTCTTGCTATAATAGCATGAAATAAAGCACTTTTGGAGAATGACACTTGCAACTCAGGGTTCAGGGACAGGAGGGAGATGAAATAGGAGGGACTAAGTTACAAAGGGGCTAGTGAGTTTCTCTCGTTGGCAGACGGGCACCTCCAGGCATCTGAGGCAGGGCAGCAGCCTGATCCAACCGGACTTTTCGGAATACCTACTACAATGTGGAAACTAAGTGGGGCGAGGGCAAGAAGGCACACAATGGCTCAACAGCTGCCCCAAGAGAAGAACCAGGAGAAGCAGCAAAGTGGTGCAATCTGAACTACCAGTGAAACAGGAAATGGGAAACACTGAGGAGGCCTTGACCCAGCAAGCCACCCAGACTTCTGGCTTAGGTCCCAGGCTCCCACTTGACATGGTTGAAAGAACAGAGGTGGTGGGAGTGAGGGGCAGGGATTCACCCGGGGACAACTTCACTTCCTTTCAGCCACACAATGAGCCTTTCAGAATGGTGGCCTGGTGTGCCAGGAAACCACAACCAGAGCCCCTCAGCCTCATTCACACAAAAGCTCACCCCTGGGAACTTCTGAGGAAGTGCTTTGAGAGGCATGAACCAACAGTGCGGTGGTAGAAAGCAACCTCATCTGTTTTTATTCAGCTTTGTCACGTAGAAGCCATGTGACCTTGGCAACGTGATTTTTGCCTGACATCTGCAAAATGGGGACATCACCTCCTTTCAAAAACCGTAAAAGGAGAAGGATGGGGTTGAAATGAGAACACAGGTGAGAAGTGTCTGACACATAAGAGGAAACTCAACAACTGGCTTGAATACTTGCACAGGCAGAAAAATGGCAAGTCCCATTGGTCCTCGAGTCATGGCAAGTGGCTGTGAAGACCAGGATGGGAACTCCACTGCACCCCTCAAATGCATCACTAACAAGCTAAGACTTCTGAAGCCACAACACATGGAAGCACCTAGAAAGCCTTTCCCAAACACTTACCACATTCGTTGAATTTGTCTTTTAGCATCTTCCATGTAAAATCAAATGGGAGCTAAATGGAAAAGGAGAAACTGATGAGTGATACAACCAAATCCTAATGTCCTAATGCATAAACACCAGGGCCTCTCTGAGAGGAACTTTCAGGACTTCTTTAACACCGAGAAATAGAATACCCTTCAAACTGAGATATCAGCAGAGAACAAAACACACCGGTCCGGAATGAGGTTCGAAACCGGCACACCAAGCGCACTCCCTTTGTGGCATTAACTGTCTCAGGGCGAATCATGCAGAGAACAGTCACCTATGGTAAGCAGCCCACAGACCATTCAACAGTAACTGAAGGTGGTCAACTTGGTATAAAGATAAGGCAGATATGGTAGCCCTTTGTCTCTGTCATGCCCAGGTGTAGTGGCTCTTCAAGCCAAGGGAATCAAGAAGCTAGGGTTCCTGAGCTCACTGGTTTCCGCCTAGCAGTACGAAAACCCGGGGCTTCTGTTGCACAGAGTTCGTTATGCTCTCCCATTCCCTCCTTATCCTACCAGCACCAGACTTTGGGGACAGTAGCAAGGTGGCCTTAAGTGCTGCTACTCTGCCTCCCTACTGAGGGCACCAACTCTGACGCCAACCCGCCCCCTCCCCTCCCTTTGTGCCTACCACCACCACCACCAAGTTGCTAAAGAACCACTTACATTTCTCACAAATATCTGGCAGGCCTTCCTGGCCACCCCAGGGGCATGGCCTCCAGCTCCGCCAAAGGAACCTGCGAAGCTTCCTCCAAAGTTGCCACGCTCCATCTCGATGGCGCGGTCAAAGCTGGCACCGCCACCGCCACCCATGGCCAGGCCCATGCGCTCAATGCCGGCGCCTAGGGCTGGACCCATGGCAGGACCCATGCGCTCCAGGCTGTTGGCGCCCATGCGCTCCAGGCCCATGCGCTCGAGACTGTTGGCACCCATTCGCTCCAGGCCCATGCGCTCGAGACTGTTGGCACCCATTCGCTCCAGGCCCATGCGCTCCAGGTTGTTGGCGCCCATGCGCTCCAGGTTGTTGGCGCCCATGCGCTCCAGGCCGGTGGCCATGCGATCCATCACGGGGCCCATGCGCTCCAGGCCAGCCCCCATGCCTGCGGGCACCATGCGCTCCATGCTCAGGCCCATGCGCTCGATGGCAGGGCCCATTCGCTCCACACCAGAGCCCATACGCTCAATGGTCTGGCCTACGCGGTCGATGGGCGCGGCCATGCGCTCAAGGCCAAAGCCCATGCCGGCACCCATGCGCTCCACGCCAGAGCCGATGCGCTCCATGGTCTGGCCCATGCGCTCGATGCTGGAGGCCATGTGGTCGAGGCCCAGTGGGCCCATGCGCTCGATGCCGGAGCCCATGCGCTCAACTGAGCCCATGCGGTCCATGACCAGGCCCATGCGCTCAATCTCGGAGCCCACACGATCCATGCCATGGCCCAGGCCTGCGCCCATGCGCTCCATGCCGGCACCCCCAATGCGGTCAATGCCAGGGCCCATCCTCTCGATCCCAGGGACACTGCCTCCACCTCCACCTGGAACAGGGACACAAAACACAGGCAGATATCAGGGACTTGCACACCTGTGTGCACACCATGCCAGGAGGTGACCTGGGTGCAGAGGCTTGGGCACTTCACAAGCTCAACCCCAGTTCAGGAATTAAATCCCACAACAATTTATCATTAGACATCCCTCAAATGTGGACAATTGTTAAGGCGGGGTAGTGAGGACATCATTCTTCCTATTACTGTGCAACAGCTAAAATTTCCATAGTAAAATTTTAAAAGGGAGAAAATCCACCCTGGAGGACTTGGGTCAACAATGTTCTCCATGTTATTTCAGAAGCGCTAGTACTTGTAACTACCTTTGTGAGCCATGGTTGTCAGTTCCTGAGAACTCTGAGGTCTCCCCACCAAATTTAACTGAGAAATGCTCTCAATGAAGGAAGCTCGGAAACCCCAACCTCAGTTGGTCAGTCTGTGTGATGGATTACGTGGATTATATGTGACAATTCCAATCACTCACAACCTTTACCCTTCTCCCAGCTTGTCCCTCTCAGATGCCCTGCTGATGGCCAGTATGGCTGCATTTCCTTAGCACCCCAGGCATAAAGCAGCTAGTATACAGCCACGTAATTAAGAGATAAAGAAAAACACCAATATAGATCCTCTATGTCTAGATGGACAGACAACTACTTCCAGGGAGCCTTACTCTGTGAAGAAAACCCCCAAATGAGCTGTGCATAACTCTGCTGGCTTTGGAGGAAAAGAAGTCAATGGCACTGCAGAGTAGATCCTAGAAGAGGCCTAAGATCAGTTCTCAATGCCATGGTTCGGCTAGACACATGCTGGCATGTCAGCAATGCAGTGACCCTGTGAACCTGTAACTCTGGACGAGGAGGGTATGGCTCCACCTCCAAGGCCACCGCCCACTTTCCCACCATGCAGAGCATCAAGGTCCCTCTCACTCAAGCTTCACCACCACCACCACCACCACCACCACCATCACCTGCCTCTGAAAAAGGTCAGCTGAGCCCACAGCCAGCCCATTCCTGACCCAAGCGGCCCAGTCCAAGATGTGAATTCAAGAAAAAGAGACTCAGAAGTTTCTGTGAGTCTCTGACTGACCTCACGTGTCACTCCACTTCCTCCAGGACTATTTCCTTAGTCATGCTGAATAACAGCACACCAAGTGGCAAAATATAAACACAATTTAAGAAACACAAGTTCTGCTCTGAGAGCAGAAATTTCTCAGAAACTAAAAAAAAAAAGGCAAGATAACTAGAAAAGGGCAGGTAGCATGCTCAAGAACATCAGAAATCAGGCTGACCTCCCGGATGCCAAAAGCAGCAGAGAACAAGGGAAAAACGGTGCCCATGTGGAGTTTTAGAATCAGCGCACCACAGAAATAACCAGCAAGTGGAGTTACCAAGGAAATGCCAAGGCACTCAGAGCCATTGGGGGGGCAGGGGGAGATCAAGCTGACAAAAGCAGTTTTAGTTTTAAGTACCCATAAAAAAAAAAAGGTGTGTATTAATGGAAGGATATAGTCCAAAATATTTACAGCACTCATCACTGGGCAGTGAGATTGCAGATATTTAATTTTTTTTTTAAATAATTTTCTGAGTATTTATCAGTACAAGTGTACAATTTAGTAAGCATTTGTTAGGAATGGAGCTAGTGTACTTTTATAATCAGGTATTTACTTTCAGGAATTCACAATTTTATGGTATTTAAAACAACAAAGTCCCCAAATTACATGGATATTATAATAATGACAACGGCTAACGCTTACATAGCACTTATGTTATGTATTCTCTTTTATGCATTGACTCATGTACTCTACACAACAACCCTATGAAGTAGATACCATTATATCCCCATTTACAGTATGGAAAACAGAGAGGTTCAGTAACTTGCCAAATGTCACACAGCTAGGAGGAGACAGAGCTGGTTCCCACCCAGGCAGTCTATTTTAGAGCCCATGCTTTCCACCACTACACTCTACTATCCCCCAGTAATAACAGCCTATTCTAAAAATCAAAACATCAAAACTAAGCGTTTCCTACCTCCTCCCTGCTTTGCAATGATCTCTCCTCTCTTCAGTGCATTACTTAGGATTTCTAAGGAAATCAGGAAGAAAAAAAAATTAGCCAAATTTCTCTATGATAACAGAAATTTGTTTATTACAGATTCCAGAATAAGAATATTACTAATTTAAAAATAAAACAAGGAAGGGGGGAGGGGTTAAGAAATACACACACAGACAGGATCATTTTACTAGAAAACTGCAAGAGCCCTTGATGATGGGTCATGATACTAGGATCCCATGTAGCTCCAGAGTCTGAGCCCAGTTGGCAAGACCATCTGGGAATGCGCCCAGCAGAGCTAAGTAAGAGCCAGTGTGCACCAATGAAGTGAACTTAGAAAATCAGAGCAAGAATAGGGCCAGTGGCACAGTTTTCTAAAGCTGGTCCAGAGCCTCAGTACTCCGGCTGAAGCCTGCACTCACCCACCAGATCCAATCAACACCTCACAGTCATCCTTTAGCAAACTAAAGCTGTGGATATACTTACTGCCAAAACCCTGAAAACCAGCAGCAACTGCGTGCAGTGCTGAAGTATGACCTCATTAACAAGTCATGCATGGAAAGACTCCAGCAAGCTAAGCCCACCAGCCCCACCTGGAAGGAGCTGGGTGTGATGATGATTAAGTGACAGACAAAGCTTCAAGAAAATAAAAACCCCAACGCATCCAAACCACATCCAACACGTTGTCGAAAACAGAAAACACTGTTGCTTGTTTGCCCACGATTCATCCAAACCTCTTTATATAAAGTTTGTCTAATGCTGTAGGGTTAGTACTAGCTTTTAAAAGTTTCTTCTCAGCTCTTCACCGCGTCAAGAGATTTGTACCCACCCCCCCTTCTCTGGTCACAAAGTGTGCTCAGCAATGTGGACCAATAGCCCCAGAGCATATCTCATTTTATGACTGAGACCACAGAGATTAACCCTAACCCCACAGCTGTTTCTGGTACTACAACTACCTGCTACAGGACGTGGGAAAGCATACCAAGAAACAACAGACCTCCAGCCTGCAAACAAGTAGGGCTTACTTATTCCGTGACACCTGCGATCCTGCTCAGCATACCCAGGCCTAGCTTCACTTTCCTAAATCAGCACTTAGATCAAAATATTCCTTGCAAAAGCTTCACAATCGGCACACCACTGATTTGAAGAAAAAGGAAAAATTCTTTTCATGGGCACTCACAGACCTCCCTGCTGACTCTGAACCTGAATCTGTTCTTTCGACCCCAGATAGACCCTCACCTCCAAATCTCTGCACCTGATGCTGTCAGCCTTCTCTATCCTGCCAGTACACCCTCTATAGTTACACTGAACTCTGACACCCAGCCCCTCCAGCTTAAACTGCATCTCCTGCATGGTCTTGCACTTCTGCTCAGATCCAGTGCTCTCAGCAGAAAACTTGTATCAGCCACATAGGAAACAATCACCTTTGTGTGTTGCTCACCCGTCTGCCAAGGGCCTAGGAACCAAGATCTTCACTGGCACCCTCACTAGGCCACTTCTATGTATGGACCTCTGGTGCTGCCCTGAGTCACTGAGCATCGTCTCCTCAGCTGCACCACCTTCTTCAAGATCAAGGACCACATGTCTACATCCCTGCACCACCAAGTACAGTGGTTTGCAGAAACAAGGGCAAAGATCTACTGCCTTGATAGTAGAGAAGGGACACTGAATGGGGAGACACTACAGAAAGTAGCACCGAAACAATTCAACTTTTAAGTGAAAACCAGAAAGGAGAGAGAAATCAAGAACTGAATAAACAAAACAAAAAACCCATCCAGCCAACTAGTCTGAAATCCCAACCTAAACTTAGACACCTTTTTACTAAATTGGGTCTGATCACAAGTAGCAGCAGGGAATTCCAGAACAAAGCCCTTTGCTCTTGCCCATGTCACTTTGGGGGGTCTCAGGACAAAGAGACAAGAGAGTCTCAATCAGAGAGAAGGTGGCAAAGTAGCAGGAGACAGATGACATTTCTATTCAGGTCAGGACTGGAGGAGTTTCCTGTTGCCATGAAACATAATGACCTCACTAGATCTACCCCTTCTCCACGAACCAGGAAAAGGCTACCAGCCTCATCACAGAGGTTGAGAGGCATCACAGTGTGGCAAAGAATTAAAGGCCTAAGGCAGGAAGGAGAGCCTATGGAAGCAAAGTCATGTGCCATCTTGTTCTTCTCACCCTCAGTATCCACAAATTGCTTTTTGCAGCCAAATGAAAAGTTTTTTAAATATTTTTTAAAATATCCTGCTGCTGGGGCGCCTGGGTGGCTCAGTTGGTTAAGCGGCTGCCTTCGGCCCAGGTCATGATTCCAGGGTCCTGGGATTGAGCCCCACATTGGGCTCCCTGCTGAGCAGGCAGCCTGCTTCTCCCTCTCCCTCTGCCTGCCACTCCCCCGGCCTAATAAAAAAATAAAAAATCTTAAAAATATATATATATATCCTGCTGTTCCAGGACACCAAAACACAATCAGTCATAGATAATAAGAAACTTTTAGCTAACCTAGGCACATAAAGATTATGAACTCATCCCCAAAATTCTAAAGCTTTGGAATTAACTACAATAAAACTACAGTCATTCATATCAGACAAGCACAAGGAAAAAATAAATAAATAAATCTTCACTACCAGCCTAGTAAGACACAAGAAAGTCCTTCCAGCTACTTAACTGCCAGTAGGGAAAAAGAGAAACAAGTCTCCACCAAACAACTGTTTCCCTCCACTCTGAGGGAAACAGTTTCTAATAGTTCCTGGTCTTCATGGAGGACACAACACAAAGAGGATGGGAGTCCCAGAAATAATCTGCAGAAGAATCTGGTCTCACTGATGAGCTGGATGATGAATCTTTCTAGGACCTTCATAAATTCTAAGAATATATCTAATACAAACTTACACAAAAGGGCTTAAAATCCTCACACCTAACTCAATGGGTCCCCCAAAGACAGAGGCTGAGCACTCTGAGGCGGTCACCTAGAAGCCTCACATCTGCACAGAGTGAGAAGCAGGTGAAGACGGGGGGAAGAGTACGGATCCACGCTCCAAATCGCCTTTGACAGACACAAACTTAAGAGCCCCAAACTGGACAATCTCTTTTGCACCATACTAATGAAGAATTAAGCTGGCGGATTCTCAGAAACATCTAAACTCATAACGGGAGAGGGGAGAGACATTTACCGAGAAGTAAAGAAACTGCTTTGCAATCTAACCAAAACTGAAACAAGAGTTTCTCTGCACTTTGGCACAATACGCCAGGCCTTCCAGCATCAGAAAACTCCAGTTCCCTGAGGCCTCTTTTAAAGGTACCAGCAAGCACACCCTGCCATCCGTTAACTAGACCACCACAGCACCGTGGACAAGGGAATTCACACCCCTCTCAGCAGGGTCTCCGAAACCTCTACCACTCCAGAGAGCCGGTGCTGGGTAACGCAGCGGTTCTAACTCCCACAGCAAGCAAACATCTCATACCACTGCAACCAAAGAAGCCACCTGAAAAAACTAAAGAAAAATGGTTCTGTTGATACCAATAAAAAATTCAAGGACCAAAAGTTTTTACCTAGGTCTAGAAAATGTTCAATTTTTTAAAAGACTACGGAAAAACAGCTGACTTTGCCTAAGAAAGAACCTCTGACCTGAGGGTGAGCCTGCACCCCAGGGGGTGAGACCCCGCCCACGTGGAGCCTTCTTACCCATTCCTCTGCCAAGGGGCTCGCCAAAGCTTCGAGACATTCCCATCTTGTTTCTGGCAAAGTCTCTCTCAAATCCTGCACCCATGCCACGCTCCATCTCTGTGGAGAAAAATATTACCCTAGGCCTTTCCAGGAATACCACTGTGTTTTAGACATGACAAGTATACTACAGGCACACAACAGCCGCCACCAAGTCAGCATGTCCACTCTTCCTATAGAGAAACCATCATCCGTCCTTTTTTCCTTAAAAAGGTCACCTCAAGTGAATCCGTGAAAACTACCTACCTTTAATCCATTAAGGACTAATTGACAACTTTCAGGAAAGCCCCCGGTGAGTAAGGTACACCAAGCACCTGCTCCTACAGCAACCGGCGTGGGCGCACGTGGAGTCAAAGGCAGGCTGCGGCAGCAGCTACCACCTGCTGGGTACTTCCCACGTGCCCCGCCCCACCCAGGGCTCTACGTGTGCTAACAGTTCATGGAATCCTCACAAGAGCCTGCAACATCACTGCCCCTTTACCAAGAAAGAGGCTCAAATGCCTTAGTAACTTGACCAAGGTCACATGCCCGGTTAAGGGGTGAGGCAAAGGCTGGAACCTAAACCCGATGCAAAAATCCATGCTCTGCTAACAAAAGCACATCCACACACAATATAGAAACATGCCTGTATATAACGGGACATCTCTCCTAACACAGGTAGTTTCATATCTACACAAGGATGTTGGTAACTTCATTAATTTTTTTTCTATGCTGACAGCCAAGACTTATGTTTTGCAACAATCTTTAAAAAAAAAAAAACAAAGGTCTTAGCTTCTATGGGGAAAAAGCCTTACCACAGCTGTCAACTGCTGGAGAAAGCCTTTGATGATCCCATTATTGGCTACTTCTTTCCTCTAAAGCAAGACTTAAGATGTGTATCACACTGTGTCTCCCTCCCATACTGAGAGGTCCTTGAAAAATCTAGTTAATGTTGCTCCTTAAAAATCAGGTGCTATATAATGATCACCTTTTATCGCATAACTACTGAAAATAGTTATATGCAGCTCAAGTCCCTATACTTTTCAATGAAGTGAACAAGCCTACCAAAGGGGTGGAAGCAGGCTAGCCATTATGAATTAATTAGATGATGCAGCAGAGGGGCTCCTTGGTGGTTCAGTCTCTTAAGCGACTGCCTTCGGCTCAGGTCATGATCTCCGGGTCCTGGGATCAAGCCCTACATCAGGCTCCCTGCTCAGCGGGGAATCTGCTTCTCCCTGTCTGCCTCTGCACCAACCCCCTTCATGCTCGCTCTAGTTAAAAAAAAAAAAAAAAGAAGAAGAAAAGAAAACAGATTTTAGCAATGGTGAACTTGCTATTCATAGTTTGAATCGACCCAACTGAAACTCATAGGTTGGTGGCATGCCATCTGCTGAAAATATAACTAACTTGCGCAAGCTTGCATGTGGTAGGCAGAAGGGAAATCCCAGAGCGGCACTGTAATGGACAATGTTCTGCTGTACTCCTTTAATCCCTATCATAAGGGCATAAAAAAGGCAGCACTCCACCCCCTTGAGATAAGGAAGTCATATGTAGGTATTACTTTGTCAGCAAGGCCTCAGAACTCATCTTCCCAAACGAAAACAAAAAGAAAACCAAACAACTCATCTTCCCAACTGTCAACAGGCTCTACAGTTCAGGGACCCTCTGTGAATTCCAATGTACTACCCAAAAAGAGAGTTTTCCTTGCCAAATATTGTATCATATCATTGTCTGGCATTTGATGATTTTTTAATTTGTAATTTTTAATATCCATTCTATCAGGACTTGACCTGTACTGTTGACTGGCCGAGACTGATTTCTCATCAGTCTGATGTCAGCACCCACGACCTTGGTGGATGCATTACGGTCACCAACTAAACATTAAATTAAATCCAAAAACATCTTTATCAACTTTTCCCCTGATAAAGTTGGCTGCACTCAAAGCTCAGAACACAGCTCAAGTGGAAGTAGAGCATTCTCTGTTGTCTACTGCAGAGGATGATGAGGGAGGACTCGAAGTACCTTTATCTCAGAACATCTAAGAACACTGCATCAGAACACATCCTCCCACTGTTGCTCTCCAGGAGAATGAGCACTGTGAACCTTTGATCACCAGGCCCAGAACTGTGACTGTGGCATTCCACGTGCCAGATTACCAAGGACTTTGCTCACACTACTCAGCACAGCCCCACCCCTCTCCATCCACTTCTAAGTGACATCACTCCACTGCTCAAATGAAAAACCCCATTTCCTAATGACTCATCTGTTTTGAGCAAACACTTTACCAAGCCAGACTCCTCACCTTTTATTAGAATTCCTATACACATTATGAGCTACAGGCTAGCCTGAAAGTACACTGGAAATGCAGACCTTTGTCCCTTCATTCCTAACGGTGAGGACTTCCTCATATCTTTTTATCATCATCTAGAACAAGGCAAACCCATGAAGAAGGGCAGTTTATTCATCAGAATTTTCTTTCTTTCCAGTTTGACAGTTATCCTAAGAAGATACTCGCTTGCTCTATTCTATCTTCACATTAAAGGATACTGCAGGTCAGCCAAGAAACATTTAAATGCAAATCTTTAATGACTTTCCATCCCAGGGAAGTTTATGTGTTTAAGGGAAGCAACATCCCCACAGGTGGGGGTCAAAGAGTCAAACCAACCCCCAAAGGATTTCAGAAATACAGTCGGCAGGGTTTCTCAAAGCACACTCTACAGGCCCACTGAGAAGGGGATGATGCCCATGCTGGAGTCAGTTCTGAAAGGCAGGATGACAGTGTGACTAAGAGCCAGGCTCTGGAGCCAGATAGCCGGGATCCATATATATCCCATTATTACTAGCCATGTGACCTTAGGCAAGTCACTCTCTGGGCCTCAGTTTCTGACAAAATGGTGATAAAAGTACCTACAAATCATGTGGTTCTTGCAAGGACTAAATGAAAAAACAAACTGTTACTATGATAGTATATTTCTATTAAGGGGATGAAAGCTCCGAGTGATAGTACACCAAAATTTGCACTATGTAAATGCTAAATTAAATCAACGTCTCTGCTCCCAACTCAGAGTTTTATCAGAGCAGATGATCAAGAACTGATGCACTCCAGCACTCCAGGAAAGATATGAATTTGATCAAAAACTCCAAAGAAACTAAAACTAATCCCTTACACTTGAAGACAATTTTAAAATGAGCAAAACATAACCAAAGATATCTACAGGATGCTTGCTAGTGCTGGAGACAATAAAAAGCTTTACTATTTTTATTGGGTAATTATCAGGGAGATTCAGAACACAGCACACAGTTTAGTGACTAACGGGATTAACACCTACTAGGAAGTCTAGCTTCTGGAATACAAACTTGTGATTTTAATAACATTTAAGGCAATTCAAAAACATCGAATTCGACAGAAAAGTGGAAGGGGCAATTATTCATTAAAAATGGGTGTGCTGCCTCAAGGTCACCCAAGAGCCAACAGCTAGCAGGGGGGCAGGTGGAAGCAGGAAGGAAGCATAAGTCTTACCGTTTATTCTGCCCATGTTCATCCCAGATCCAAATCGACCCATGTTTTCCATACCACCACCAAAAGGTCCCTCCATGCCTGCAAGAGACATTCGACATTCCCATTTGAGCATCATTCCAATGAGACTGCTTATACTCATCAGGAAAAGAAAGATTTTTTCACAAGTTTCACCCTGGGCATTTTCTGCCAAGAACTTCCTTACCAAGTGTAAGGGCTTTTGGAGAAAAAAATGCTAATGCCCTCACCTGAAAATCACCATCTTCAAAAAGCTAATCTGATCCAACCCCCTTAACAGACAAGCAAAGAGAGGCCCAGAGAGATGGAGTGATTTGCCCAAGGTCACAGAGCTAGTTAGTGAGAAAGCCAGAACCAAAAGCCAAGATACCCACTGGAAAGAGTGATGCGAAAAATTAATTTCTAGATTCAGTTTTTGGAAACCAAAGTGAGAATTCATGCAAGGCTTAAGGGAAAAGAAAGAGGAATGGTGAGAGAAAACCATACCTAAAAGTGATTACATTTGTACTTCATTTTAAATCTCTTACCTCCCATTTTATTTATTCCAAATCCTATGCCTTCCATTCCCATTCCTTAAAAAGAAAAAGTCAATGCAAACTAAAATTATGTCAAAGCAGTAATGTTTGAACTTAAAAAGCACAAGTAATTCCAAACCAGCAAATGAACAAAAAACATCCCTGGTTATGAATATATTTTAATTGTCAAGGAAAAGGACAGAGGGGGCTCTACCATCTCACCTGTCAAACTATCACATTCCAAGAAACTATGTCTTTAAATAAGTCTTTAACAAAATAATCACCACATGACTCAAAATTCTTTACACATACAGTTTTAATAAATAAGACCATTTTAAACATCATATATAATTAGCCAGTACAAATTGGAGAACACTCACTTTTTTAGAAGCTTATTTTAGGGAACATTAAGTTTAAAAAGATAAAACTCTCTAAATAAACAGCAGTTCCTAAAAACACTGAGGCTTCCCTCCCCACCACCCCTTTCTTCTTAGGCATTAGTTAGGGGGCGGGGCGGGGTGGCAGGCAAACTGATAGGGCCATATGAGGTGATGGTCCAGGGCACTGAGGTAAGCCCAGAGTTTAATCTGGGAGGAAGACAAGGGATATGCAGAACTAACAGTAGCAGGGTGAAGGGACATCCATCCTGCAATTCAAAGGATTTCAAGAGACACCTAAGACTACCGTAGTCTAGACGCCGTATCAACACCAGGCGAGAGCCCAAGGGGTGTCTGGGTAATAGACTGTGGCAGTGCTGTGGTCCCATGGTCAGGAGACCTATAGTCTCTTGTCACTAACTGATAGTGTGACCTTGAGCAAGACCAACTCTCTGGCTTGCCTCCTTTTATCAAATAGCTTAACTACCTCAGCTCGGAAGGTCATGAAAGGATAAAATGCAAAGTATAACAATTTTCAAAAAAAGGATTCAATTCAGTAAAAACACAAAATATTATTTTTATCAAAATGAATCAGAGATGAATGAGGGAATTTTGCCCCCATTAAATCTTTATTCCATTTGAAGTACTCAATGTCCAATTATCCCAATAGTTCACTTGACTAACTTCCCCAGACATCTCCAGTCAACGTACACTGTGGTTCTCACCTGCGGGTCCTATGTTTCCCATGCCAATGCCTTTATTCAGGTGATTGGCATCAATAGGCTGTCCTCCTGGGCCTAACCCCATGCCAATACCACCAAGTCCATCTGAAAAGAAAAGAGAAAGTTGTAAGGGTAGAGTCCACTTAGAAAACCATAACCTTCCAAGGGAAAAAAAGTCTTTGTTTACTGTGCTGTAAATGTCACACTCCATTCCCATCCACCCACCTCCACGGGCAAACCCAGGGCCTAATTCAGAATTCGACACTGGTACACTTGGGAGCTATCCCTTTCAAGGCATAACTTTTCATACGCAATTACAGACTGGAGTTTGTGATATGTATAAAACAAGCACAAGTAAAAATCAGTTACTTGAAAATTACAGAGAAGAATTATGAACCCACATGTTAAGAATCACAGATACTTATTTGTTTCCCTAAATCTCGAATTGAGAAATGCTTGATTAAAAAAGGCAATTAAGGGGAGCCTGGATGGCTCAGTCAGTTAAGCGTCTGCCTTCAGCTCAGGTCATGATCCCAGGATCCTGAGATCGAGCCCCGCATCAGGCTCCCTGCTCTGTGGGAAGGCTGCTTCTCCCTCTCCCGCTCCCCCTGCTTATGTTCCCTCTCTTGCTGTATCTCTGTCAAATAAATAAACAAAAATCTTAAAATAAATAAATAAAATAAAATAAAATAGGCAATGAGGACACTGGATGGCCAGCAGCGCAAATATGCCCAACCTCCACCTCCCAACCTGGTAGCCCAAAGGACTTTTCCCAAGAAAAAACAATGCCATAAAACAGCCAATTAACACACTGGGCATACACTATTCTCTGACCCCACTGTGGGCCATTTTCCTAACAGTGAACCTAGTGTATCTTCTGCCCAGAAATCTTCCTAACCTGTGGATCAATACCCAGTCCACTCTCAACTCCATGCTCCACACACAAGCAGGGACGTAAGAATACAGACTGGTCTCAAAACAGCCAACAAAACCTGATAGTGTAAGACACTTGTGATGCTCTGAGTGACCCTGGTGGGAGGCTTAAACCACGACCGGGTGAGACATTTTTAAATGGAAACCAAGCTCATTAAAAACAACAACAACAACAACCCCCGATACCAGTTCCCAGATATTTAATCTATTTAACAGCCCTGTGTTTTTAAATTGCACAGAAACAGCAGCAAGAGATCACCAAGGTTATTTACTCCCCAAAGCAATCTCTGAAACTTGCTAGGAGACCAAAAGTCATGGATAATGGGATCCCTAGGGCCTAGTGTGTGCCAGCCAAGGCTCCCAAATAGCCCTCGTCCCACCTCCTCTAGGCACAAAGGTCAACAAGAGCCATCACCCTGATCCTGAGTGATCACTGCCAAGTGGCCACACTGATTAGGACAAAGAAATGTGGTCCTCCTCTAAAAAATGTTTATTTTCAACAGATAAGCCATCTCCTACTCTTGAAGCCACTGACCTCCCCTCAAAACCTGCCTCCATTATGCTTTCATAATATTAAACCACAAAGGCATTCGTGTTTCTGTTCTAGTCTAGGCTCCCATTCAATTCAATCTAATGGGCCTTAGGCCTGAGTCCCTCTCCAGACCAGAGACAGTCCCTGGTCCTCTGAACAGATCCTCCCCAGCTGCCCCACCTGGTAGACAGCTCTCCCAACATAGCACAAACAAGCTCTCCTCTCCTGCCACTCCACCCCGTCTTCCTTCTGACTCCCCCGCCCTCCCGCTGCTAGAAGCCCTCACTCTCACCGCTGCCTATGCTCAGGTTTCACTCAGCCCTGTGGGCTTGCCAGAAAACATGCCTAGGGCTTCACTAATATGCACCATTTCCATCTGTGAGGTGACCAGTCACTTAGCCTTCCCTGTCAGACACTCTTTCACCTGGATGTTTCAAGAGACCCTATATAAAAATTTGGATTGCTGTACTTCACACACCGTAGGATGCATCCAAAGTGTATAGTTCACTGAGTTTTAGCTTAGTTGGAGTTACATTACAACTATCGCCACCATCTAATTCCGAAACACTGTAATCACCTCAAGAACGATTCTCCACTTACCCCTCTCCCCAGGCAACCACTAATCTACTTTCAGTCTATGGATTCACCTACTCTGGACATTACCTACAGATGGAATCAAGGTTCATCCACGCTGTGGCAGTTATCAGTACTTTGTTCCTTTATATGAGTAATACCCCATTCTATAAATTTACAACATTTATTCATTTATCAACTGAAATCATGCTACTAGGAACATCCGTATTTAAGTCTCTCTGTGGACGCTGTTTTCGGGCCCTTGGAATATACCTAAGAGTGGCACTGCTGGGCCATACAGTACTAACCAATCTCTTCTGAACCCAAGTGCAACCTGGTTTTAATTCCCTTTGCAGTTTCTGGTTCTTCCTTCCACAGGATACTTTCAAAACACCCACCTACATCCTCTAGGATGTAGTCTGCCTCACCACAAAGTAATCCTAACAACCTTTCCTAAGTTGTGAATCCCTGTTCATTTTTCACCCTGAAAAATCTATAGAAAAACAAAAACCAAACACTTTCTGAAGCTTTCCCTTAAGAATGATCAAGGGAACTGCAGAATAACATGGCACAAGCTCAAGGGTGAGTGTAGTTTTCTGGGTTTTTTTTTTTTTTTTTTTAAGATTTTATTTGAGAGAGAGCAGCAGAGAGCACAAGCAAGGAGGAGAGGGAGAAGCAGGCTCCCTACTGAGCAGGGAGCGCGATGTGGGGCTCGATCCCAGGACCCTGGGACCATGACCTGAGCCGAAAGCAGAGCTTAACCGAATGAGCCACCCAGGTGTTCTTTTCTGTTTAGTATTAATCAAATTCAAAACCTAAGCCGTATTGAGACTACTTACGGGGAAGTTGCTGTGGACGCTCAGGAGGAAAAAAATCTCCCTTTGGTAAGGCCCTTTCATCCTGAAAAAGAAAGTGACTAAATCTCAGTATTCCTTCCTTGAAGCAAAGCTTTGCAACAGCAAAAGATGGAAACAACTCCCAACGATAGAGGACTGGCTAGAAAATTACGACCCACCTATGCCATGGAATAACACACAAGTGTTAAAAAAAAAAAAAAAAAATTACGGAGAAATACCTTTTGTGTAAAGGAGGGAAGGATAAAAATATACATCCATGTTGCTATGGGGAATGAATGGGACCTGGATATGAAGTAAGGGCAAGACTCTTACACTGTATCTTTTTCATGCTTTTTGACTTTTAAGTCACTTAAGCAATTAATCTACTCAAAAACACAAACTGAATGTTTAAGGTAACTACAATACCATACCCTTTTACAGTTCCTTTTATTTTCCTTGTGAATTTGAGCCCTACCTAGATTGTCCTCAGCATGTTACAGTCATGCCTGTATTGATTCATTGTTACCCATGGCAGAGCCACAGCAGGGCTAAAGTTTATCACTGAAGTGCTTCAGAAGAAGTTTAAAGGCTGTCTGAATCAGACTTAGTATGTTCACAACAGATAAGACACTGGCTAAACGTTCTAATGCAATACTATGAAAAGTGGAAACCCATGTACATAACCATCTTTGAAACTGATCACTTGCTTAAAGCAGGATACTCAACTGACCACCTGACCATGCCAAAAAGAGGCAACTGCGTGAAGAATATCTGAAGAGCTGCACATGCAAGCAAAAAGTTGTTTCTGTCATAAATTTGCTCAACATACTGCACCCTATTTAATGTAGACTGATCCATAAATATAGTAGAGTGCCTATGTATACTTTTAATAATCCCATGTTTTTCCTAGACTTATTTGAATATATTATACAGAAAGAGATCCTATTAACTTACCATTTTCACGTGCATTGGTCTATCAAATAGCAGTTGACCATTAAACATAGCTGATATTACAATTAAGGTTATTTCTTACAATTCTAAAAACACGCACAGCAGGAGAGAAATACAGAAGAAAAATACTCCAACTACTACCAGGGCCCCTAGTGAACTTATGAACCATTTTGATTTTTCATTATACTTTTAAAATATTTGTTTCTACAATAAGCATAAAAGCAACAATAAACAGAACTCAAGAGTAGGCAGGGGAGTAAATGTTAGCTTATTCCTCAGGTGTACAGCTTCATTCGTATAACCCTAACTTCTCACCAGACCATCCTCCTAAGTACTGGCATGAGTTTTCTGTAGGAGTCCGTTGGGCCAGGTATTCCACCATTTTTTGAAGTACCATGATTTCTGCGTAAGAGACACAGTAACAGCCTTATCTGAGTTTAGTCACTGTGTTCATGTGTGGCGTTCTCCATTGTGACTACAAACATATTACTCTAGGGTCAGAGAGAAGTGCTTCTTCTAGAATGAGGTCAACCCATTGGAGAAATAGGGCCAAAGACTTATATATGAAATAACAATGGATTTTCTCTCCAGAGGCACATTCTTTATAGACTTCTCCCTTCAGACCAAACTTAGCTCTAAGAGAGAAGGCTGGAAAAGACCACTCGTGGGCGTGTGCCTCTTCTCTCTCTATGCAGTACTGAATCAATTCCAACACAGAGAACTAACTTTTAAACTCCACAATAACGCAGTCCCTCCAGTCACTTAGGAAACACTAACACACAAAGTTACCACTTCCCCCAAAAAACCTGTATTATTAATACAACATTTAGGCCAAATTGTTCACCAAGAGTTGAATTCTGATAAAAGGATACATATAGCTTGCACAGCTTCAATGGACTGTTCAAAAGTAACAGTGCCTATTCCACGACTTTTTCCATCTTTATCCTCAAGAATGTCTGCTCGGACCACCACACCAGCCATACTAAAAACTTCCTTCAGTTTCTTCCAGCCAACTTTATAATCCAGCTAATCAAGAGAAAGTAAGAGAAAAATCTCAATGCAGACATCTTTAGAAAGAACATTTTCACTGTATGAGTCCAGTATGCTTTGGCTGGAAACAAACATTTAAAAATAACATCAGGTTATTTTTATTGTCCTAGGCACCCAGCAGCTTCAGTCAACAGAGCATGCAGCTCTTAATCTTGGGGTCGTGAGTTCAAGCCCCATGCTGGGTGTAGAGTGTAGTTAATAAAAAATAAAAATCTAAAAAAATAGTAATATATAACAAATAAATATAAATAAATAAATGGGGTGCCTCAGTGCCTCAGTGAGTTAAGCATCTGCCTTCCGCTCAGGTCATCTGAGGCCCTCGTAAGGCTCTCTGCTCAGCGGGGAGTCTGCTTCTTCCTGTCCCTCCCCTCCCCCAATCAAGCTCTTGCAAATAAATAAAATCTAAATAAATAAGTATGTCACAAAAATTTATCACCTGCAGTAGAATTCTCCAGATAGGATTACAAAACCTGGCCTTAACTGCTATTCACTCTTTTCTCTGAAAGAACAGGTTAAGTCACCTCATACCTTTCAAATTAATGCTTACTTTGTGAACATTTAAAAAAAAAACTTTTTTTGTTCCTTGGTTTACCATCATCCTCCCCAACTCACTTTCCTTTAAAAATATTTCCCCTTGCAAATGGCAAGGGTATTATCTTTCATCCCAGACACAACAAGAGGGAGGGAAATGTCAGCCCTGTTCACAGACTTTTTTGACCTGCACCTAACTAAACCCACAGGGAATGCAGACTCAGCTGCCACTTCTGTAACCAGCAAAGTCAGTAAACGTGGCCCCAAAAGGACTATGGTCAGGCCTACGATTTATCACTGCAGTGGTCACCATGGAACAAAGTACAACTTCAAAGTTATTTTTTTAAACAGATCAAGAAGAGAACATAACCGTCTTTTTTTATTTTATTTATTTGAGAGAGAGTGGGGGGGAGGGAGAGCACAAAGGGAGCGAGAAAGGAGAGGGAGAAGCAGACTCCCCGCTAAGCAGGGAGCCCGACACGGGGCTGGATCACAGGACCCTGAGATCATGACCTGAGCCAAAATCAAAAGTCAGATGCTTAACCGACTGAGCCACCCAGGCACCCCAAGCATAACCCTCTTTTTAAAAATTTTTTCTTCTTAAACATCAGAATTAATTTATGACATATTAACAAGATTATTTCATCAAGTTCTGATTTTCTACTTTAGACAATGTTTCCGTTTACTTACATTTGCTACAAATACTGTGCTTCCAAGTCTTCCAGCCTGTAATGCATGGATAATCTCATTTGGGATGTTAGGATTATTTAGGATACTGGGTGGGATATTAATCATTCCTGGGCCACCTGGTCCCATACCCATCCCACCGGTCGTAGCCATCACCTTTTGCATTGCTCTCCTGGCATGTTCACCATCAGGATCCTAAAACAAGCACAGAAGTGTTACATTTAACTGACCCAGTGACAACTAAAACCATGATCTCACAAAAAGTGATATTCCCAAAACTCCAGAGATTGAAAGGTTGTTTGGAAAGCATGTCTCGAAATCTATAACAAGAAATTCAAATGAACTCAACCATCAGGCTAGGAAGAATTCCAGCCAAAGGAATGGGGAAGAAAGAAACAGCGTAAAATTTAGCTCTCAACTTAACTAAAAAAAAGGGGGGGAGGGGTTGATGACAGAATTAGTTGATATAACATAGAACACTTCCAGACGGAAATAAGATCTTCACAGGCTTGGTATAGTTGAATCTAATTTTCAATGGGGTTTTGTAATTTCTGATAACCCCATCAGTGATTTTTTCCAAAAGTTTGAAAACACAGTTCTAGATCACCGAGGTACTCCGGTCCTTCACGTTATTCAGGCGTTTGACTCGTGTTAAGGTCTGGACAGGTTTGTGAAACTCTGGCATTGACACTAGTCTTGAACCTCTTTGCCCTTTCATGTGTCTCTTCAACACACAGAAACCTTAAACCCTACCATGCTCTCCTCTCTGAGTTCTGAATATACTGATCTTCCTCTAAGAAGTCAAAATAAGTCAGGGAGAAGTCTAATCAACAAAAACTTCCCTCTTCCTCAAGGGAGAAAAGATATCTGGTTTGGATTAGATCTGAAAGTAGATTAATGATGAATTCACTTTATAGAAGAAAAAAGGTGGACTGAGTAAGAACAGGGTTCAGGATGGGTAAAACTGTAGGCGTAGATTCCCTTAACACACATGCGCACGCGCACACGCACACCCCATGGGCTCGGTCTGAGTACCCCTGAAAAAAACAAGGCAGGCTGCTCTAAGACAAATCACAGACGTTAGGAAGGCAGGCAGCAGTTGCTCAGGATGTGCTCGGCCACTATTCCAAAGTTCTTACAGGAGTGACTACTGAAGCCTGTGACCGACCCTCTTCATTAAAACAACAGGTTGGTCTGCTCCGTAAAATGTAGCCAAGGACTATTTGTCTTTTCCTAATTCCAAACAAGGACAACTCGACAATTATAAATGGTATCCACATTGTTTCAAGAGCTTACTTCTTTGACTTTCAGTGGTCTTCCACTCAGACTATGCTTGTTTAGAACTTCGGCAGCTTTTTTCATGCTTTCTTCCATCTTGAATTCAACAACGCTATGAAGAGTCAAAAGGAAATGAGTGAAACCAGTCCTACAATTTAGAAGGCTCAATTGCCAATAAGTAACTAGACAATACTTACGCACATCCCTTTGAAGGAAGCCACAGACCAGTCAGAAGAGCAAGGAAAGGGGGGAAAAAAGAAAAGAAAAACATAGTAAATATCAATGACAGTTATATAAATTACAAATATGATGTATGTAACAAAGTTAGTTTTTAAATTAACCCTTCTAAGGGGAAACTCACAGGAATGTCTTGCCTAGCCTTCCTTATTAAAAGCTGGGCTCCTTATTATCTCCTCTGCCTGCGCATTACCAGCATTGCACTATAGTTACTGAAGTTATAATAAGCAGACCTAAATTCAGGTTCTCCAAGAAATCACACAAACTTTAGATCTGCTTCTCTCTGTACTCAAGTCAATTCCTTATCATACTCCTCCTAAATCCATCCCTTCCATAAATTAAAGCTCATCCTTTGATTATTCTAAGCCATTCTATTGCACAACAAAATAATTTATTTTCTCTTTAAACTAGGCCAATTTTAAACGTTCAGGTTTTAGTATTTGTTTTACAATTTACTGGCACAAAGGCGACTTTGCGGAATCTTTGGTTCACACAACTTTCAAATTCAGCAAACGACCAAGAGTAACATTTTCTAGACAAGAACACACGTTTTACATTAATATACCACCGCTAAAATTCCATGCATAATTCACACACAGCCAATTCCTCTGTTAACAAAGAGACAATGCTGCTATTGGTCCCCAGTTATCCAAATTGGGCATCCAAACAGAATACCAAAAAGCTCTTTGGCCAGCCATTTGGAAAAGCGGGACTCCCGTTTGCAAATCCCCTCCCACCCCACTCAAATGTTTGGCAAAATCAAACATAGCTACTATAACATGAGCACTCACTGCCTTCCTGATTTCATTCGATTCCACGCCACCATACAGTTACATTTTTCAAGTAGTAAATCCACAGAAGAAATTCTCTCAGACACTTACCCTTGACTTTCCTTCAGCGTCCATTAAGAGCTCCACGTATGTTACCTCACCAACTACAAATCAGTTTCCAGACGACACATAAACCAAGGGAGAAAAGCCAAGAAAACAATGGGAATTTAGAACAATCATCAGCAACCTTGTATGGAGCCTCTGCCTTATAAGAAAGCCCAGAAACACTCCATATTCTCTAAACCACCAAACTAGGCATTACAGGTGTGCAGTAAAAGTAGGTGAGACTCGTTAACAATTATGTCCTTGATTTTCCTCCCACCACAAACAAACTATTTCCACAGATTTCCATATCAATTTCCCTGTCTGGAATACTCACTCATGACTAGAGGCAATCCAAATCTATAGGAAAGAAGTCTGCGTGCTTCACTTTTTTGGGGAAGGGAGGCAAACAGTTTTACACAATACACTCTCACAGGTGAAAGCAGGTCAACAGCGCACAAGCTGCAATGCCACTGAACTGAGCTCAAATGCTAACTACAAGGACGTGCAAGTGTGTATATGCTCAAAGGCACACACACGGTGTGGCCGGCCACATAGGTGCAACCTGTGCAATCGCACAAGGCCCTGCACTCAGGAGGGCCGCGCGCTTAGTTTAATGCTCTGATGTTAATCTTGAAATTCTTAATATTTTAACAAGAGGCCTCCTGTTTTCATTTTGCACAGGGCCCCACAAAATCTGCAACTGGTCCTGCACATGGCACTAGGCTCCAGAATTGTCAGAAGTAGGATGTTCGAGTATCTGATCACAAACCAGAGCAGCATCTGGATTCTCTTCAGTGAATTAAGCCAGGCTTTATTCTTCCTGCTTTCTCAACCTTCCCATTGAAAGACACAGATAAACGAAAAATTGAGAGCTCAGTCTGCAACTAAACAAGGTCAGAAGACTCCCATGATTCTGAACTACACAAAGGGAGGCAGAAAACAAAGCATTTCAAAAGATTCCGCAGATTTTCCTCAAGGTTTGGATTGCCAATTCATGACCACCATGACCAGATGTTAGAACCCATCAGGAAGACAACCACCAAAATGGCTGCTGAACTTGAAGATGGCACAAGGAGAACAGAAATTTAAAATTGGAGAAAACAATCTCTTAAGCAGGCTCTCCAAAGTCAAGAAAGTGCTTTTGTCCTCAGGAATATCTTTTTTTTTTTTTTTAAAGGGGGGGGGTTATTTTTATGATAGTAAAGCCTTCTCCAGCTCTGTGATCAAGTTTGCGTTAACAGTACAATGGTAAAAGTACCGGCCTCAGCAAGTCCTGCCTATGCTAATTCCTTTGCTCAAAGGATACTCAAATTATAAGGATTTTAAAATAATAGCAAAGAAAGATTTAAATAGAAGATAAAATTACTTTTAAAATAAACGATTTGAAGGGCAAATTTATTAGTAATATATCTGCATAGCAGTTGACAACAAGAAGGCCAAGTGTTCAAAGTCACCTCCCCTTGTCCTTTCTTGGAATGTTGGAGAACCAAACCAGCACTTTGCACAACAGGAAGGAGAGAATCAGTGCAAAGAAATGAAGAAATAGGGACTGGTATAATTTAACTTTTGGAGTATGCACTCCAGTGGGGCAAACTGAAAATGATCCCAGCCACGGTACAAACAATTTGGCTTTATTTTACCCTTACAAAAGTAAAGCAATTCCAAAAAAGGTGTGGCCATTCCTGAGGCCGTGTTTTTTAAAAAGCCATTCATTTCAACAGCAGCAGCCATTTGAGGACCAACAGCCTTATCTCCACTTTGATAAAAATGCCAAATAGTGTCAAGACAGTGAAGAGACCTCAAATTTATTTTCTACAAGCTTTAACTACCATCTAGTAACCTTAAAAATAAATCACAATATCTAACTCAAGACAACTGCAACTATGTTGTTGGAATTCAAATACTGTTGCATTTGGTAAGTTTCTAGTCTGTGTCCATAAAGACACTTTATCAAAAAGCTGTCACTGCAACCTAGAAACCAAGCAAGTCCAAACCAAACTTTTTTTCCAAAAAGCTAGGTTTAAAATTTAGGACTTTTTCCATTTAAACATTCTAGTGATGGCATACATCCAACTTCAATCCTTAAGCACCAAAACTTTGCTTAAAATATCCCTTTTTGTTTTTCCCCAAATGGTATAGTTGTTTAGTAAAAACAAAAAAAAATTACATTTAAAAAAAACTCTCCATCCTATCAGTTTAGCCAGAGGTTAGGCAGCCGCTGTGGCTCCAGCATTAGTGTTGTTCCGAAGGGAGCATCAATAATAAACCATGTCCCTCATACATTCCCAACCTCTACCCTGAGAGTCCACATCAATTCAAAGATGTAAGCAAATCAGGATTACAGGATCTGCAAGAGGTGCTAGTTCATACTTCCCTATAGGAAGATAATAGTAGACCACCTCTCTTTTAGTTCTACAATATTAAAACGAAGACCTGTTTAGTGTAGTCAGTACAACTAGCAACCAAACATTGAAGGTAAAATTCACCACCTATGCATAGTCTGGTCACATCCAAAGAAATGAAGTTTAAGAGAGCAAACCAACCAGAGCCGATGAGTTAGGACTGAGAGGCAGAGTTAATAAATTGGCAGCTCCAACAGTCTTGCCCAAATGGAACTCGCAGGTTATTGATGGAAAACACTGTTGCTCCTCTCCCTTCCTGAACATGGATGGGATCCATGGAATCCCAAAAGGAGGTGCTAGGAAATTCTACTGCAGCTGTAAATCTCAAAACATCTAAATGAAAAAGCTAAGACTGAAACATCTAATGCCCAATGTTTTCACCTACCTTTATTTTAAAATGCTTCAACAAATCCCCTGTAACCAACTTTTACATGATAAAAACATTGCCTCAAGCATAAAACACATCAAGAGGATAAGCAGAATGAACAAGCAACCCAAAAAGTCAGGCACACCTGCACGTATTTTTATCAAACAGTACTCATGTCTGTATTCTCATTTACTTTGAAAGGGACCAAAAAAGGCGGGGGGGGGGACGGGACAGAGGCCAAAGCTTCACTGAAGAGAATTCATATGTGAAAAGGCCTGTAATTTAAAGGCAAGGGTGGAAGGGGAAGGCTCCAAAGAGCAGGCACATTATCAAACACACCCCTCAGGTAGCCACTCTTAAAGAGAACAGATGCATAGTTTAATTTGGAAAGCTTGTGCCTTTAATATACAGACAACTTGAAACCTGGCAAAATAATTATTCTACAGAAGGACGACTTGATTTATGGACGAGTTAGAAAATTATTGAGCCCATTCTTGCTCCTTCTTCCACAAGCAAAAGATCACTACTTCTCGGGGCACCTGGGTGGCTCAGTCGGGTAAGCATCTGCCTTCGGCTCAGGTCATGATCCCAGGGTCCTGGGATCAAGTCCTGCATCAGGCTCTAGGCTCAGCAGGGAGCCTGCTTCTCCCTCACACTCTCCCTCTGTGCTTTCTCTAATTAAAAAAAAAATCTTAAAAAAAAAAGAGAGATCACTACTTCTCTAACTGAACCAAAAACTGGCAAACATAAAGTGAAGGCAGGCTACACTGTCCGGCTTCAACCCAATTTGCCCACAGACACAAATGCATTAGCATAACAGGTCTTCACAAAAAGCAGGCTGAATTTCCCCAAAAAAGGGAAATACGAAGGAACAAATAGACAGGATATGGATTTTTACTTAAATTGAAAATAAAGTTTGGCTTCATAAAACCCACAATGTAGGTTGTCTTCAAGAGCCAACAGAGACTCTTGGACTATGTTTGCCCTCTGGGCCTCAGTTTTCAGTCAGCTGGAATTTGAAATTTACTTAAAGCAATCCATCAGGAGCACCTGGGTGGCTCCAGACAGTTAAGTATCCAACTCTTGATTTTGGCTCAGGTCATGATCTCAGGGTCGTGGGACCAGGCCCCACATTAGTATTCCACACTCAGCATGTGTAGTCCACTTGAGATTCTCTCTCCCACTGTCTCTGCCCCAGTGAGTGCACTCTCTCGTGCGCTCTCTCTCAAAATAAATATATCTTAATAAAAAAAGGCGATCCATTAAATGAAGACAGAGAATTAAGTGCTTAAAGAAATCTTTGCTTACACAAGTTAAACTGTTGGTAAACTTGGGATTGATTGAGAGTAAACTCCATCACTGACGTTCTCTTATTCCTCAAACTGTGCTGCATGTTTACTCACTACAGGTCCAGCTCAGGCCTGTCTCTTTACAAATGCCCCACACCTCGATGGTGCCAACTCCCTGGTTAGGCCAGGAGAACAAGGAGCCCAATAACGAGCTTTCTTCATCCACACAGGACTTCGCAGTAATGTAGCACAACACTAAGTTTAAAATTCCCAAGGTCACCTTTTTCACCCAGTCCTTATGGTCAAACACTTTTCATGTGATCCCAATCTGTCCCCAGTGATGAAAATCAGGTAGGTTGTGAGACTGTGAAAACATCTGCAAACTTATGTGATAATCTCCGATTCTGATCTCCTATTACACTGGCTCTCAATTTTTTTTTTTCAACTCAGCAACTCTGGTGTTCATAGAAGCCATTTTGTTCCATGTACTATCACCGTTAAAAAATCAGCATGATCAAAAGGACAACAGAAACCTCTCCTTTGTTCCATATCAGGACACTTAGAGCAGAAAACTGGGAAAGTTCACCAGACGATTCTACAGGCTGTGAAAACTGTTTAATCCACATCCCAAACTTGGGGGGGGGGGGGGGGCCAAAAAAAAAAAGGGCAGCCTGGCTCAGAACAAAGCAAAGCTCAATACATTTTCTCTTTAAATTCAGCAATGCTGATTTCATGATAGTGCCACCAAACAAGCTTTGGGACCCCATCCAGGGGAAAAAGCAAAGTGACCAATTCACATAATACATGTATCATTAATAGGATCTCCTGGAATGCTGCTAAATGCTCAAATTTAAGACGGAATATATACACTTGGTGGCCAAGAAGGGGGGAAGATCAGGAATTAGGGAGGGGTGCATGAGGCATCTCAGGCATGATTAGCCTTCAAAGAGCTCCTGTCTTGCCACTTCAAAGTTACTAGTCCACTTCTGAGAGGCGGCAGTTAGACAGTGTGGCAGTGACAGGACATTTTCCAGACCTTTAAGTTGAAGACAACTAATTCTAGCTTATTCCGTTGGTTTCCTGAAACAACAACACTCTTAAAATGCAGACCAGTAAAGAGTGGCAGAGTTGTAATAAGCCAGGTCTCCACAGCTGGCCCACTCTGGAGGTGACCTCGAGACTGATGCTTTTAGGGTGTTAAGTACCCCTAGCTGCAGTAACAAGTCTTCAAAAAACGAAAACTTACTCGCAACAGGTTTCAAGTCAATACTTCAGATTTCAAATAACCACCTAAACATACTATCAGTATACCAAGACAAGAATAAAAACGCAATTTTAAACCTCATAATAAAAATAAGAACATTTTTGAGACCTAGATATGTGAATAGTAAATTTCTTCAGACCTCACATGCTGAACAGAAGCATTACCTTAAAAAAATTATCTTCCTCTTATGAAACCCTTTCACCCACAATACAAGTAATTTAAACAGAAAAATAATTAATTTAACCTATACAGGGAAGCTCTAAACAAGAACATTTTAAGATTAGTTTAAAATAACTTATTTACTGCACACCTGTAATTCTAAATTACACCACCAAAAAAATACACTGAAAGGGCTGAGCCAAGGCATTCGTAGCAGTATGCCAGGGGAATATGAGAACCAGTTTGGAAGTATCCAAATAAACCACCAGGCTGGCCCCACACTTAATACAGTGCAAAATAGGAAATTGAGGTGAACTGCTTCTACATCCAGAAACGTCATGGCTGCTGCTGCTACCAGCTTTAAGGCTTCCAAAACTGAATTACTGAATGGTAAAGCAGTAAAAATGTCACCTACTTTATCCATCATGTCCCAAAACTGGTTCACACACTCCTAAAAATAAAAAAATAATTTGGCCTGCAATCTCTTACAAAATTCTAACAATTGCGTTTTCAAAGCCACATTCCTGGTTCTTGGAACTACTATACCTTATTATCAATGGAAGTATCAATTCAGCGGTTCAACCAAATCACGAGAACACAAATTTGGGGGTTATCCCAAAAACTAATTCGAATGAGACCCAACTGTACTGTACAGAAATTCTAAGCTTGTATTGAAGCAGCAGTCCCAAAAACCAAGAACACTGCATCTGGGATGCCACGTGACACGCCCTTCAGACAAAAAGAAGAAACTTCACTCTTGCCCTAGGAGCATTGGCAGGAATGATTTGGCTGATCAAGGCAGGAAAACAAATCTCACACCGAACGTTTTTCCATCCATGTTATCTGGAGAACTACTACATGGGAGCAGCCTACATGAATGTACAGAGAAGTTCACGGTGCCTAGTGCTTCTGTCATGTCATGGTCAAATTAAGTGATGGGACAATGATGGCAGTGGGCCAGTCATAATTTCAAAACCCAATGCTGGGAGCACCAGTACACATACCAAAATGGCCTATCCAAGTGGCATCTCTGCCACTGAAATGTTAATCATTTGACAATTCAAGCTTGAATCTCTTTTCATTATGAATGCTCCAGAAAACCAATACCTTTCAGTCCTTCAGAAAGACTCCATTTAAGGGTAATTTGATTCTAGGTTTCCCTTGGGGGAGACCTCAAGGCATCAGACACATTGTTCTCTATCAATAGTTTTGTCTAAACCAGGGCTGAGCAATCTCTTTAGCCCTGAGTGCCACCAGCAGGGCCAAGAATCAGAAAAGAAAGGAAGACAAAAGCACAGAGCGAGAATGTGGGAGGAAAGAGGATACATATGGTGTGCACAGAGGGTGAGGCAGAGGACCGTGGGGACAACCAGCCTCCTAGGACCTCCTGGTGGCAGCAGCGCTTCAGTTGCTTCCCCTGCCCTAGGCCAGAATCTGGACACTGGGCGCTACTGAAGTGCGCCTGAAAGCACAGCATTATGTAGCAGATGCCTTATTTTGAGCTCTCTGATTGCCAATCTAACCCCAGTTTCTTCCCAGGGGGAAAAAAGCCTAACAGTTTAAATAACAAGCTAATGTTTTAGAATTTAGAATCTAAGCAGCACAAGTTCCAACTACCAAATTTTGATCCCAGGAAGACATCCACAAAATTTAAACAAACTACCTTCCCTCCAGAATTAAAAAGCTTAAAAAAATTTTTTTAAAGAAAAGGAAAAACCTCTCCCACCTAGTATGAAGAAATCAAAAAATTTCCTCAACACAAAGAGGCTCCCCTCAAGCTTAATCAAAGCCCTATTAACCATATTAAGCCAGTAAAATCATTTGCAGGCCAAAGGACCATACAAACCACCCTGTTTGACACACAGGTGCATGACCACACAAAAAAGTAGGCTGGGTAAAGCGGCTTAACTCTCAAGCCTGGACAGAATACATGCTCTACCCAGATCAACTTCCACTGACAAAAAAATAACCAAGGAATTAGCCACAGAAAAGATGACACATCAACCTTCTTACCCTACTCGACCACCAGTACCATTACCTTTTTCTTTAACCAGGTCTTTAAGTGACTGCCATTTCACATCAAAAGGTATGTTTGTAATGAAGGCTCTGTATCTTTTAGTTGGATTGGCATATGGCTCAAAGCGATTGCCTCCTCTTTTTATGTTTTTCTCCTTCCTCTTCTCATTCTGAGTAGGTCGCTCTCCTTCACTGAATTCGAAGGGAAAAAAAGGGTCCATACGTTAGCACAATATGAAAGACAGTATTTGATTTGCCAGGTTTACAATTCCACACAGTTACATCTAACACAAGACTAATATTGACTTTGATCTGACACATTCAAACTTAAGTGTTCGTAGAACAGAAAGGTACAGTAGTGCCCTCCTTAAAACCCACCTATCAAGAAGCCATTCCCAAGAAACTGTGCTCTCCTATGCCTTCATACATTCCTAGGAGCTTTAACAGAGATGGGAGCAAGAGGCCAACTCCCTGCCCAAGGTGCTTCAATTTCATGCCAGAAACAGGAAAAGAGAAGGGAAGATTTGCAAGACTTCATGGAACAGAAATGAGCTGGTGCACGTAGGCCCAATCAACTTTAACTTCATGAAGAAAACTATCTTTTTGTTGTGGGGGAAAAAATTTTTTTTTCAGTAGGAATATAAAATGGTGCAGCCACTAGAGAAAATTTTGGCAGTCATTCAAAAAGTTAAAACACATAATTACCATATCACCCAACAATTCCACTCCTGGGTACAGATCCAAAAGAAGTGAAAGGAAGGAGCAGATACTTGTACACCAAATAGCAGCATTATTCATAATAGCCAAGAGGTGGAAACAACCCAAGTGTCCACCAACAGATGAATGGAATAAAAATGTGGTATAGCCATACAATGGAATATTATTCAGCCATAAAAGGCATGAAATGCTGATAGATGCTGCAACACAGATGAAGTCTGAAAACATTATGCTAAGCAAAATAAGCCAGGCATAGAGACAGAAGAGAGGTTACCAGAAGCTGCGGGGAGGTGGCAATGGGGAGTTACTGTTTCATGGATGAGAGTTTCTGTTTGGGATGATAAAGTTCTGAAAATGGATAGTGGTATAATGCACAACATAGCACTTAATGCCACTATACACTTAAAATGGTTAAAATGACAAATTTTACATATATTTCACAATTTAAAAAAAATTTTTTTTAACCAGAAAAAAGCCATTTTCTATACAACCCTACGAAAACCGAAGTCTGAGCAACCCAGGTAGGTAAAGGACAATAGAGGAAAAGATCCCACCTTCAGCAAAGGGTGAATGCTTTTTTGGCATGGCTTTTCCTATGATATTCTTTACCTTTGTGTGTCAGGCATCTCCACACTGTTAACACTTCATTTCTAAAGTCTACAGATACAAATTCGGCTTAGATTAGGACATAAGTTTCAGAAGAAAAGCAAACTTCCAAAAGCATGGAACCAGATATCAGGCTGGAAGCCTAGGCCACAGCAAAGAGAAACAGACCAGTGTGTGCCAGGGTGCCATGCATTGGCCAAGTGAAGCTACTCCATGAGCTGCCCACTCACATATCAAATATCAGCCCCTGGGACCACAGGCAGACACCTGTTGAGAGGTGACCATGAACAACTGGGATCCAGCAGACAGGAAGTTCCTCTACTTCCTGTACTGTGTCCCGCACTTTCTGCTTACCAAGCCCTATGCTTTCCACCAGTGAAAATCCAGCAACTCCCAAACCACACGGTCTAGCAGAGACTTTGTGATCCATGACAAAAATGGAAAAAACAAAAAGCCAAGATTATGGTATTAATGATTTATAAACCTACCTTTATTTAATTAAAGGGCTAATATTTATTCTAGGTTATGTCTTCCTTGTGTGGAAGACATAATGTCCAAATACCAGAGGACAGCAAGAGGACTTTGTTCTTGTAACCTACTTACTTGGAATTAAAAAAATAATTTTAAGTAAGCTATACACCTAATGTGGGGCTTTACCTCACGACCCTGAGATCAAGAGTCACATGCTCTACCGAGTCAGCCAGCCACTCCACTTGGAAAATTTTAGCAACTTTTTGAAGCCCCAAAGTTGTTTCTTTTTTTTCTCTGCTGGTTCCTCCTATCCAAACACAAGGGTGCCAAGAGGTAACCCAGTGAAGGTATCCTCCTCAGCAAAAGTAAGGAAAGCAGTTTCCTCCATGATTTCAAATATACCAACAGGCAATAAATAGACTTCCTTCACAGAGGCTAGCAGATACGGAGGGGTATAGCCACTCTAATCCGCAAAATTCCTAGAATTCTACTGTCTACCCCAAGTTAATAACAGACCCTCCAGAAGCTGACTGCACACCACCACAAGCAGATCTCAAAGGAAACCCTCAACCATCACAGAGGCCACCTGTCTACTCCATATGAAAGTCCCACACCAGTCTGCCAAAGTGTATTTGCCAATGTGTCTCTTGCTCCTGGCAGTTAAGAAGGCAAATGTTAGTAAAAATTCATAAAATGTAGAGCACCATTCACAGACCTCCAGACAGGGTCTGCGGATAAAAACGTATTTTAATATAACTGGTTTCTTTTGAAACCCACCCACTCTATAATTTACATTAAAAAACATTATTCTGACACAAGGTCCATGACACAGTAATAGTTCCAGTCTGTGTTTTCACAGACTGCTTAGCTCATCTGTTACAAAATGCATAAACTAATTACAGTCAAAGCAGGTAACAAAGTGTCCAGCCCATATTCTGCAGATGATTATGGCTAAGAATAGGCTAGCTACCCAGTCGAACCACAGAAGCTGGGTATTTGGTTCGGGGTTAATCCACATCACATGGCTCACAATCAAGAAAGCAGCTCATATGGATTATGTCCAAGATGTGAGCACAGCACTCTACCCAAATCCTTCTCTGGCTAATCATTTCCCCTCTCTGAGAAGTTTCATCCTAAGTAAATGGGTTTAGTACTATCTCGTCACTTTAAAAATTGACATTTTCATAAATCCAATGATCACCAGCAACCCTTTTTTTATTTTTTAAGTAATCTCTATGCCCAACGTGGGGCTTGAACTCACAACCCTGAGATCAAGAATCACATGCTCTACCAACTGAGCCAGCCAGGGCCCCCTTCTAAAATTTTATTTTTTCTTAAATAATCTCTGCACCATCAACCCTCCTTAAAAGAATTGTAGACCACCCTCAAAGAAATCTCACTCAAGGTACATATTCAGGTATAGCTAATGTGAGAGTTTTAAGAGTGGTATCCTAAAAAGTTCATTTTTTTAAAATGTCCAATCCCATTTTTTCACTTATCTTCAGGATAAAATTAGGGGAGTAGTCTTCTCCAGCCCTAAGACATTTGTAAACACTTAATTCCAAAAACTTTTTAGAAGTACGTTTTTATAAATGGATATTTTAACACTGACAAAATTGATTAATCCCAAATACCCCAAATTTATAGACATTAAAAATGTTAAACACACATCTACCATATGACCCAATCGTCCACAGTCAATACTTTTCCAAGAGAAAGTAAAGCATATATCCATATAAAAATTTGTACCTAAGTGTTCACAGCAACACTATTTGTAATGTCCCAAATCCGGAAATTATCTACTAACAGGTAAATGAAAAACCAAACTGTAGTAGATCCATAAACTGAAATACCACTCAGCAACAAAAAGTAATGAACTACATGCAACAAGAAACACTCGAAGAAACCAAAGGGTTACAATACAGTATGATTCCATCATATAAAATTTTATATTTGAGAAAATCTAATCTGGCAAACTAATCCATAGCAGGGTTTCTCAACCTCAGCACTACTGACATTCTGGGACAAAAGCTCTGTTATGTGGGGCTGCCACCTGCATCCCTGACCTCTACCCAAGAGATCTCAGCGGCAACCCAATCCCTCAGTCTTGAATGTAAAAATCAAAAATATCTTCAAGACACTTCCAAATGTCCCCTGGACAGAAATGTTGCCTGGGGGTGGAGAAAGGAGGACTCAGAAGATTACAGAGGTGAGAAAAAAATTGCTGGGGGTCATGGATTTATTTATTACCTTGACTCAGTGAGGGATTCATAACACTGACACTTATGCTGCACATTTCTAAGATGTGCAGGCTGTGCCAATAATACAATATAATTAAGTTTCTACTTATGTTTTGTTAAATTTCAAATCTAACTCCAGTAACTTACTTGTAACTCCAACACAAAGTATCAAATATGGAATCTTTCAAAGAAATGGAAACCACCGTAAGACCTACTTAGGCCAGCTAAATGTCTTACTGATATTCTCTTTGCTAACTGGCTCCCAATTCCCAACTGCCAATGAACATTGTCTATTCTTGCACCCAATCATCCACCTTACGGTCTAAATAGACCCAATATAAATAAAATTTTTTTCTAACATTCTATCAACCTATTTCACGATACATCAAAAAAGAAGCCTAAAATATCTGTTAAGTACCTTCCGAGTCATGAAAATGAAGTATGTCTAATACGGCTTGGGAACCGTTTCACTCACTGACTGTATTCTTTGAGAATTACCATTTTTCATGTCACTGCTCCACCAAACGAGAATTATACTGTACCTAAACACCGCAACTAAAAAGACAGTGCCTGCTCCACAAAACACTGCTCCATTTGCCGAATCCCTACTCTCTCTTACGCTTCACAGCATTCAATACCCTCATTACTTTCAGTTTTTCAGAGTGTAGTCTGAAATGGCAACTCCAACACCCTGAAATCCTGATCACATCTCCTGAGGGAAAAGACTCCTCCTCCCCCCGCAAGCCCCTTGAGAATCATCCCTTATGTTAGGGCCTGAGCTCCTCTAATATATTTACTGCACAGAGCACTACTCATAGCACTATTCTAGCTCCAGATCCACCTCTCAATTATCCTTGCAACTCAAGCTCTCTACCTGTTTCTTTACCAGCAAAACCAGCATAACCTGTATCCACAGAGGCCACAGGGATGCTGTGAGAATCAACAAACAACCTAACAAAAAGCAGCTTGGTAAATGTCCAGTACAATATCCAAAGGAGCAGCATTACAGGTGACTAAGCACCGCACGTCTAGGTCTGAACCACAACTCCAGGGTCCTCCTTTGTAAAAGGATTATTACCATCCACACTTACAGGTTTAAAGAAGATTTGGCACACAATAACTGTCGCACTGAAATATTTCTGTACCAATAATTTTCTTGAGAGGGACTGATTCACTCCTAGCCTTCTACCGTTACATAGTGATTGAAACAAGCCCACCAGGGTGGTGGCTGAGGATGCCTAGGCACTGTACGCATTACAGACTACCCAAAGGAGCGATTCAGCTTTCAACTCCATGACTATAAAACATGATCATGGGAGAGTCCATCTGAGAACCCCAAAAAGAAACAGCCTATTCGGGGCGCCTGGGTGGCTCAGTTGGTTGAGCGACTGCCTTTGGCTCAGGTCATGATCCTGGAGTCCCGGGATAGAGTCCCGCATCACTCTATCCCGCATCGGGCTCCCTGCTCAGCAGGGAGTCTGCTTCCCCCTCTGACCCTCTTCCCTCTCGTGCTATCTCTCACTCTCTCAAATAAATAAAAAATCTTTAAAAAAAAAAAAGAAACAGCCTATTCTTTGCAGACTAGTATCTCTTTGCCTAGCCATGAATAAAACCAAAGAGCAAAGTGAAAGTCAGGAGCTGGCAGCATGCATTCAAATAATCCAGAACTCCCTCTAAAGTTGAGCTCACAATCTAATGTGCCTCAAAAAATCCTTTTTATCAAGTATACAGTCACTTTTTAAAGTACAGCAAACACTCAAATCATCGCAAAGCAGAGAATGTGGTTTAAATAAAACACTTTCAATACTGTGTTTAGAGAGATTACCAGGGTAGTACTGTGGAAGCAAATAGGGCCTTGGAGTCTAGATGGTCATCCCTAGTCTCTGGGTCAATTTCCTTAACCGGAATTTTCTCAATTGCTTAAAAAAATTTTTTTTCTCAGTTCTAAAAAGAGTTATCACAATGTTACCTCCCTGGCAATCTATACTAGGTATAATTTTTTATTTTTAAATAATCTCCATCTCTCAATTTTCTGATTCAGCCACAAGATTTAGAAAAGGAAAAGGTTAAGTCACTGATTTTAAATATATGGTACAACCTTTACTTAAGGGGGAAGGGGGAGGGGGGACGGACACACACCTAAACCCTTATAGTCCTCTAAAATAAACACTTCTTCCCTGATATACTCTTAACTCTGAATCTTGATTGCCTTTAGATGGCAGATTTCTCATCAAAATAAAACAAATCCTCCTCCCACACCCAGAAGAAAAGGAACTGAAAAATAAGCTTTCCTATCTGGGGTCCTCAATCGAGCTTGCTTGCTCATTGCCTTTTTGGTTTACAGCACACTCCACTCCTGGTACAGACAGGTCAGAAGAACGAAGTTTCACTCAATTCTCATCCTTCAAAGGCTTTCAAGATAAAAATCTAAATTCCTTAGCCTGGAATTCATTGCCCACCAGCTGGCCCCCAGTGTTTTAGCAGTAAGTGCCACAGTAGCATCAATTTTTTACAAATATGCAAAGCATACACCCAAATCCCTAGTCTTTGGATACTCTACTCTCAGCCTCTCCCCAATTATCATCTTTCATCCCTCTCCAACCAAAGATACACCTCCCTGACCCCAGCAGGTTAGGTTGGAGGGAGGGTGGCCCCTGCAAGCTCCCCACCAGGTAACTCCTTTTACTTCTATCACAGCCTAATTAGCCTACTACAGAAATGTAAAGCGCTTCCTCCTCTGGGCAAGGGCTTTATTCTAAAGAGCTCTGTTTCAAGAGCTTCCTCATACGAAAGAAAAGAAAAAAGAAGGAAGGAAGAAAAAAGGAAAGAAAAGAAAAGAAAAAATTTCCACAGGCCCTACAAAATAGATCTGTTGCTACCTCCCCAAAATATCCACGATTAAGCAGTCCTAGACTCTGGGTTCATTCCAACAAGGGCTGTTTTATCTCCAGAACTTTCAGGTTCTTACTAATAGTCCACATGTTAAATCAATCAGCCACAAAATGACTACTTGAAAATGAACAGAGAAAATGGGAAATTTAAAAAATGTACCCCAGCTGCTATAATCTATAACCAAACTTCTCGCCTAACAGTTCCAGCAGCATTTCATCCTGTGATAAATGCTCTGAAAGAACAAAAACAAAAACAGAAATAAATGAATCTTAAACGCCTCCAAATATGGTCCTTAAAAATCCTACTAGGCTCCCCAAAAGATGATGAAAAAAGTCCAAATGAGCACATCTCTTTCCAGTTTTCAATAGCAAAGTGTTGGGAATACTTCCAGGATGCCTTTCTGTTTTCTCAGGACCAGTAACCATGGTATTTTGTTCCTCCCCACCTAAGGAGAGAAAGTTTAACAAAGCCAGTATTTATTGAATGCTCATTCACATAAAGCCAATTTAACTGCACTCACTTTCAATCTCCACAAACTCTAATTATGCACATTAAAAAATTTGTGGGAAGGCAAATTCGTAAGAGACAAACCTGTAACAGGTAACCAGCAGCTGAGGAATGAGGGAGAGTAAATTCCTGTGTAACCGCTCCAGTTTGGGAAGGTGATAAAAGTTCTGGACGTGAACAGGGGATGATAGTAGCACAACACTGTGAATGCGCTTAATGTCATTGAATCGCACACTCAAAAATGGTTAAAATGTAAATCGTAGGTTATGTATGTTACCACAATTTTTTAAAAATTTGTAGGAAATCAAATATGCGCCCAGAAGTTCCCTCTCCTCCCAGCTGTTGGTTGTAGCCTCAACGTCTCTCCGCGTCTTTCAAGTGACTGCTATCAGAATGGCTGGGTTTCATGGGGGACACAAGATGATGCGTTAAAGCTTTAATTAAACTTGAAAAACCAAGAACCCCAAGACAGAGCCCTAAGCTGGACTAGAACAGGTGACGAAGTTCGCAAATCGGCGAGCCCGCCTGAGGGAAAAATCTTCCCCTGGAATACGGGAGAGGAGCTTTCTCCACCCCCCCCCCTTTGTTTGCTTGTTTCTAAGGGTGAACACTGAGCCGCAGATCCGAACTCTCTACAATTACGTACTGCGCACCTGGGAGGAGCGAGGGACGCCGCGAGGGATTCGAGCAGGGGCCAGAGCGCAGGGCTAGCGGCGGTTCCGACCGAGGCACTCCCCGCGAGGCGGGGGAAGGAGAAAAGGAAGAGGAGGCGCCCCGAACCGGCCTCGCGGTCCCTGCCGAAACCTACCCGCCTGCCTCGGCTGCCGTTTACCGGGGCTCACCGCGCGCGAAGGTCTGCGCGCGCACTCTCTCCCCTCCCCCCACTTTACGGATCGCGAAACTGAGACCCCGGGCGGTAGGGGATGGGGGTTGTGAAACCACTCAACCCAAGGTCACCCGACAGGCCAGCGGGCGGCGGACCCGGCGACTCCCCGGCTCCCGGGCCCGCGCCATCATCCCCGTGCGCAGGGGCCCGGCCTCAGGCCTCGGCGTCGGGCCCGGCCTGAAGGCGCCGGCGGGGCGGAGGTCCGCGGCCTGGGAGGAGGGGGCGATCCTTGAGGCGCTCACGGGGCCACTCGGCTTCATTTCTCATGGCTTCGGCCGCCCCCACCTTCGGCAGGACCGGCGGGGAAGGCACAGGCCGAGGCCGCGCCGGTGGGAGGCCGCCAACAGACCTAACGGAGCCGCAGGCGGCCGCCGCGAAGGTGCCCGGCCCGGGACAAGGAGCCGTGTAATACTCACCCCTTCGGGCCCGGAGCCCCGTTGCCGCTTGGCACGCCGGGCGCGCCGCTCTCCTCCTCCATTTTGGTCTCCGTCGTCGCCACCTCGGCCGCCGCTTCGACCCCTGCCGCCATTTTCTCCGCGTCTGGGCTTTGTGTGAGGGAGCGGGATGCAAGCCGCTGCGCCTGCGCGCTCACGTGATTCGGCGCGACCAGTAACGCCTGCGCGCGCCGCGGCCCGCTCCCGCCTCGTCCCCTCCCGCCACGGGCCACGCCTCTGCTCGGGGCCACGCCTCCGCCGCGCGCAAGCGCGGACCCGCAGCTGTTATTCATTCATTACCGCAACCAATTTGCGTTAGGCACCTACTGGATACTCCACCCACTCTCGAAGTCGGGGAGGGGAAGCACCGCCCCACCTCCCTACAAGGACCTACTCGCTCCCAGCTTCCTGTAATCAGAGCTGGCGCAGAGAGGCTGCGAAAGTTTTGTTTACTAGAATATAAAGGAGTTAGCTAGACAAGGAAGGCAGGACACTGGCCGGGCTTGACAGGACTGCTGTGCAAAATGCTGTCTCTCTAAGCAAGTATCATCCTGCACCAAGAATACCTGGGCTCTGTCTGGCCTGTCTCCCCGCTGGGTTGGGAGCTCCTGAGTGCAAAGCTCATGGCCTAAGTTCCTCTCGCTGAACCCGTTAACCAACCACCGAAACATGAAGCTGGGGACTTAGTATGTGCTCACGGATGTTTCTGGAGTGAATGAACAAGCAATAATCCCAACATGATAGAAGAAACGAGTCACAGGCCAGAAGAGCCCATTAACCTTAACGGGGGCTCCTTTCTGTCTGCCCCTGGATCCCTTTGTCCTGAAGAATTGGCTCTGTCCAGAAACAAGTTTTCAAGGGCTGTTACAGGTTGTGTCCTGGGGCAACCATGTTGGCCTGGGAAGAAACCAGAGCCCAGGAAAGCGTTCAGAGGCCTCCAGCTCCCTTTCCCCACAGCACCCCCCCTCCCCAGTGTCTCTGGAACTTTGAAAGGCTTCACTGAATCTTGGAGAAGTTCCCATCCAACCACTGAACTCTCTCTAGGTTTACAAAAGGAAAGTTTTCTTTACCCCCTCTCCCACAGAATGGCTACATATCATCAGGCTCTGGGGGAATATCTCATCTGCCACACTGTCCTAGGTGCTTAATTCAGCCTGGCGATTCTGACCCAGGCTGAGAATTCCAGACCCGGAGAAGAAATCCAGTAGCCCGGCCTGACACGGGGGCTAGGCCCCCATTCCCACATACTCCCCAAACTCCTCTGTCTCAGAGAATTTCCTTCTATCAGCCATCTCCAAGGCCCTCCTCCTCCCACAGCCCCTCTGCTCTACTAAAATCCCCTGTGCACACAAGCTCTTCTCCCGGGGCTGCACTGGTATCTAAGCTTACTTTCCTCTCCCTTAGACCTCTCCTAGACTGGAGGGGTCCCTGGGGCAGACAGAGCCTCACCGAACCTCTGAATCCCCTTGCTCAGCAAGGCTCAGAGATGATGGAAGAGGCCACGACAGTCTGTCAGAATGAGTGAAAAGAGTCCAAATGCAAAGCAGTGGGGACATGAAGACACCTGTCTCTCCAGTCCCTTCCTGTGCAGTGAGTGTGACTGGAAATCAGGAACAAGCCAGGCCCTGGTTGAGGAGATAAACTTCCAGGCTAGGTTCCTATGGGCTGGTTGACTTAACCCAACACTGCCCACATTCCTGGGTTTTGCCATCTCCTGAACTATGATTTTCTTCATACTTTCCTTTGACACACATTTTTTTTCCTTTAAAGAAATGTTTTTAAATTGTGCCTTACATAACACTACATATCGAAAACTTGCTGTAAATAGTTTCTTGTAAAAAATAAGAGGATGATGCCATTAAAGTAGAAATTCAGTTGTGTACACAGGAACAGCTCTGAACCCAAGACTTGCTCTCTCTTTTGCTAGGGTTAAGGGTCATTGAAGACGGCCTAGCACCAACCTACAACTTTCTCCTCACTGTAATTGAAAGTGTCAGAAGAGGGGCGCCTGGGTGGCTCAGATGGTTGAGCGTCTGCCTTCGGCTCGGGTCATGATCCCGGGGTCCTGGGATCGAGTCCCGCGTCGGGCTCCCTGCTCCTTGGGAGCCTGCTTCTCCCTCTGCCTCTCTCTCTCTTTCTCTCTCTGTGTGTCTTTCATGAATAAATGAATAAAATCTTTAAAAAAAAAAAAAGTGTCAGAAGAGGGGCACCTGGGTGGCTGTCGTTAAGTGGTTAAGTGTCCAGCCCTTGGTTTTGGCTCAGGTCATGATCTCAGGGTCCTGGGATCCAGCCCTGCATCGGGACTCCCCGTTCAGAGGGGAGTCTGCATGAGGATTCCCTCATTCTGCTTCTCCCCAGCTTGCATGCACATGCATTCTTTCTCTCTCAAATAAATAAATCTTTAAAAAATCAAAGTGTTGGGGGTGCCTGGGTGGTTCAGTCATTAAGCATCTGCCATCAGCTCAGGTCATGATCCCGGGGTCCTGGGATCGAGCCCCTCGTCGGGCTCCCTGCTCGGCGGGAAGCCTGCTTCTCCCTCTCCCACTCCCCCTGCTTGTGTTCCCTCTCTCGCTGTATCTCTCTCCGTCAAGTAAATAGATAAAATCTTTAAAAATAAATAGATAAAATAAAAGTGTTATTAGAGATCTGCAAAGGAAAAAGCTTTCTCTTTTCATGATGGCACATCCTGGGGCCTCTGCACTCTCTCCAGGGACAGGACGTTCCAAAGTCGGCCTGGAGAGGTGGGTGCCAGGCCTGTGTAGCGTAAAAAGCCACAAGGATGAGAAGGGCCCTGAGTGCCAGCTGAGCTGGGGCACCGGGTATGCTCCTGTTCTGCAGACACCTGCTCATCTCTCCAGCTGCCTCTCTCCCGCCCCTCTGCCCCTGAATCTCAGGGCTCCAAGCATGGCTCAGCTGCCCTGCTGCTCCTCCCACAGGCCACGTAGTTTCCAGCCTCCAGGCCTTTGCCCTTTGCTCTTCCTCCCCTGCTGTGGCCAGGCTGGCTTCCCCCATGTTCTTCGTCTAGGGCAGAAAGGGTTTTTCTCCCTCTCTGGGTGAGCCACACAGCAGACGGGCATTCATGCAGTAAACAAGAGAACATGCCAGATACTGTGCTAGGCCCAACCAGGATGTGGAATCTTGGGTGAGTAACCCCAGTGCTCTGATCCTCTGTTTGCTCATCTGCAAATGGGATTCATAAGAGAACCCCAGAACCCACCTTTTGGATCTGCTCTGAGTAATAAATGTGGCTCAATGCAAGGAACCCTCAAAAGTACAAAGCTCAGAAAGAGCTCAAGAAGTAGATGCTATTACTAGCATGACCATATTCTTCCTTTCCTGAGTCCTCCCAGAAGGGGACACAGAACGCTCCACACTGGAGCCCTGTGGACCAGGGGGTCAACCCTAACTCTGCCTCCTAGAGCCGTGGGGCCTCAGACAAAGGCTTCCCTGCTCTGAGCCTCAATCTTCTCTGTAAATTGGAGGTGACAGCCATTCCTGCCACAGAGGATGGGCAGAGGGAGGACACCTGCGAAGGCTCAGAACCAGGGAGCCCTCGCTAAGTATAGTGACTAGGAGAATAAAGGGCCCAGCATAATATCTGGCCCACTCTAGATGCAAAGTAAATGGAAACTGTTCTTCTTACGTGTATTTACTTTAAATCATTTATTATATAACCCTGCTACCTGCTCTTCACTCAAAAACCCAGGCTTTGCTTCTTCCAGGCTTACACAACAAATCCCTCAAAACCAGCTAAGGGGCCGGCTTGGTTTTTTTTAACCTGACTCCCTTCAGGTCTCAGATGCCTCCCTTTGAGGCCTCGGTTCAGAAATGTAACTGACAAGTCTGTTTTGTCCAGCAAGGGCTCCTTTTATTCATTCGGGGTGGGTTTTTTTGAAACGCAGTGCAACTTTATAAAGTCGAGGGGTGCCAGGAAAGCAAGCCTGTCAGGTGCAGAGAAGTGCAAGAAGCTTGCGGAACCTCCCAGCCCCGTGGGCGCCCTGGTTCACCTACGGCCGTGGCTGCTGGCCCCCAAGGGGGCCGGGTGGGCCTCAGAACGAGATCAGGGTGCCTGCTCTGTCCGAAGCTCAGGGCCACGTCCATCTGTCCTCATGTACCACAGTGTGCAAAACAGCTGGACAGTATCTTCATGTGGGATCACAGAAATCAGCTCCGCTTGGTGTCTCTTGGCCTAAGAAGCATTCCGGCCGTGCAGGAAGGGTCGGGCGGTTTTGTCCTTCCAAATACCAGGGCGTCACCAGCTGCCTCTGGCCCTGCTGGCCCGGCCTTCACACGGGTGTCTCCTCTGCCACCTTCTTCAGGAGTCCTGCTGCCAGTGAGGAGTGCTGGGCGTCCTCGGAGCCATCTGCATCCCGGATCTTCAGGCGAACTTTCTGGTTGGTCCTTCTCCACTCAGAGTATAGCTGGCAGTGGTAGCGGAAGGAGACCTGCAGGGTAGGGTGGGGGTGGGTGGGAATGCCAGCCACTGCTCTCCACCCCAGGGGAGGGACACTGAGCCCAGGTGGCACCTGCTCTGGCCCAAACCAGGGCCAGGCTCATGCTTCCAGAAGCAGAGACAGCGTTCATACATCTCTCACACGGACTGTGTACACATACCCATTCACTCTCCTGGGAAAACTCCCCACCAGCATTCGGGACCCTGCAAAGTGCAGGGCTCGGCAGCAGGGAGCAAGGAGCTCCCTTTCTGTTTCTCCCAGGATGGGACCGAAGTGGTACAGCCTCTTGGAAGGGATTAAATGTCACCGGGTCAGAGAATTGCCCAAACTCGGAAGCCAGCAAGATGTTCTTGGGAGGTGAGTGGACAAATAAACGGCAGGACATCCAGACAAGGGAATATTAGTGCTAAAAAAAGAAATGAGCTCTCCGACCATGAAAAGACATGGAAGAACCTCAAGTGCAGGTCACTAAGGGAAAGGACCCAGGCTGCAAGGCTACAGACTGCATGATTCCAGCTCTGTGACATTCTGTAAGGATGAAACTATGGAGAGAGTACAAGGATCAGCGGTGCCAGGAGTTGGCGGGGGGGCAGGGATGAACAGACGGAGCCAGAGGACTTTTAGGGCAGTGTGACTACTCTGTAGGATACCATAATGGTGGATACATTCATCATCCATCTGTCCAAACCCCATAGAATGTACAGCACCAAGTGTGAACCCTAATGTAAGCCACGGAGGCTCTGGAGGATAGTGATGTGTCGATGTAGGTTTCCTCTGTTGTAATGGAGGTGCCCCTCTGATGCCGCATTGATGGTGGGGGAGGCCGGGGTGGGGATATGCGAGAACTCTCTGTATCTTCTGCTCAATTTTGCTGTGAACCTGAAACTGACCCAATAAATAAAGTCTATAAAAAAATTTTTTTTAAACCAATGTCAATGGTTCAGAGTCCTTGATCAAGCGAGTTCCAAGAAGGCGTTTGCACAGGTGGTGCTCAAAGCACTGTTCATAACAGGAAAAGAAAAAAAAAAAAAAGGGAAGAGAAAGAAAATATTGGAAAGAATCCCGGTGTCCATCAAAAGGGATTAGTTAAATAAATACTGTACATCCAGACCATGAATAAGTGTTGGGTGGCTGCCTTTTTTTTTTAAAGGACATCAGCAAAGCGAAAGCAAGCAGACTACGAAGCAGTACCTATGGTTTCATACTATTTGCTTTAAAAAAAATAAGAAAAAACCTGCTGGTGGATGCCAATCCTTTTTGAGCCGGGAACGCTCCCACAGCTAGACAACAGTGGTTAGACGTAAGAGGTGACACGGGGGGGCTCCTCTCTGGGCGAGGGTCCTAATGGCTGCCAGTCCAGTCCTTCTCAACCCCAGGGGCCTTCCCTCCCCGGCTCTTCAGCCCCCTGCCTGTCTGTCTCTTCCTCCCGCTCTTCCTCCCACCCTCCCAGCCTCCCTCTCCCCTGACCCCAGCTAGTCTTGCTGAGTTTGTGGATGGCAGGCCTCCATTCAATACCGCCGGTCAGGTGTCCTCATCTCTCAGGAGTAGATGAGGGCACCTCTCACCCCTGACCCATGGCTTCCCTGGGCCTTGGCTGGGTTCAGAATCTGGAGCTCCGTGAGATGCTGGGAATCGCTTCCACCCGGGCAGAGGCAGGCAGGGACGCCCCCAAGCCTCTGCCCAAAGCCCTGGCCAGCCTGCTCTGAACCAGAGACCCCCAGATGCCTCCAGCTGGCAGCCACTCACCAGCGTCCAGAGGACGTAGATGGTGAACAGGGCAATGGTGAGTGCGATGAGCCCCACGGCCTCGAGCCGGCTGTGCAGCCGGAGGTGGTCCTGGGCCCCGCGCAGGCACAGCCAGCCCGAGATGGCAGCCAGTGGCGTGATGAACAGGAAGCATACCATGTCACAGCACAGCGTCCGCTTCTCTGTCCGAGGCCCCGGGTCCTTCAGCCACTGCAGGGGTGGGGGGAGGAGCTGCTGAGGCAGGCTTCATACCGCCCTCCCATGAGCCCCGGCCTGGGGATGGGGGTGCGGGACCTCCAGGCCTCGCGCCTCTACCTGCAGACACCCATCTGGATGGGCAGGCCCCGCAGGACCAGCCTCCGACCGGGCACCACCCTCTGTACTTTCCTTCCCTCACATACTTACTGAGCCTATGATGAGCTCCTGGGCCCTGCTAGGTGCCCCCATTGTACAGACGGGGGATACTGAGGGCACAGAGGGACGGACTCATTTGTGCAAACTCACTGGTCACCCACAGAGCCAGGACTGCAAGCTGGGGGCGGGGGGGTCTGGCTGGGGGTTCTTGTTGCAGGGCCCCCGCAGATGAAGGGGTGAGAGAAGTGGGCTTCACTCATGGTAATTCCAGTCAACGGAACAGAAGGGTCCCTGCCCTCCTGGAGCTCCCATGCTAGTGCAAGAGATATGAAATGGGGTGGATGGTCAGGGAGGGGACGGCCTTGTTGAGGAGGGGACCGTGAGTTGAATGGAATGAGCAGGAGCAGCCATATGAAGAACAGGGGAGACGGCGCCCCAGGCTGCAGAACAGCAAATGTGGGGCCCTGATATGGGAGTATGTGACCTGGGCAAAGTACAGCAGGGAGGAGGCCCATGTGGCTGGAGGGCGAGGGCAAAGGGGGAAGGGGTGCAGGCGGGCGCTGCCTGTCCCACCTTACTGTTCTCCTAAATGCCCAGCCACCCCGGGGCGGGCCAGGGGCCTTTCCAAGAGCCCACCCCCAGCCCAGCGACATGACTCTACAGCGCTCAGCTGCCCCCTTCCAAGCAGGCCCGGAGGAGTCCAGAGGGCACCCGTGCAGCCAGCAGGGCTCCGGAGAACGGTGCGGCAGCCACCACGCCCGAGAATGCTCATCTCGGGCCTGACCCACGCCGCTCAGGCTAAAGTCTAAGCTCCTGGGCACAGCCCACAAAGCCCAGAGTAGCTGCCAATACCTCCTCCAGGCCACTCCCCTCCTCCTGTAACTCGCTCCACTCCAGCCACATGGACCATCAAGCATGCCGAACTCTTCCTGGCCTCAGGGCCTTTGCACTTGTTGTGCCCTCTGCCAGGACTGCCCACCCCCAGCTTGGGTCCTTGGCATTGCTGGCTCCTCATTCTTCAGGTCTCAGCTTCAGGGGTGACCGAACAGGGAAGGGGCAAGGGGGTCTCGGCCTGGTTCCCCATCCCCATCCACAGAATCTACTATGAGGGTGGGGGAGAAGGAGGTCCACTCCATAGAGAGGGATCCTCCTGGGCAGTTCCCTCCTCCGGCCCCAGGTCTGTCTGCCTGCCCCCTGCCCGCTCCGACCTGGGGCCCCCAGGCGTACCTCTGTGAGGGGCCGCGGCCGCTTCTCCACTGCAAACTCCGTGTGGCACAGCTCACAGTAGCTGGTGTTGGACGAGGAGAGCCACCTCTCCAGACAGCTCTTGTGAACGGCGCCCAGCGTGCCAGTGCAGCCACATGGGGAGAGCAGGCTCTCCCCATTCGCTCCCTCGTGGCAGATCCGGCAGAAGGGACCATCGCTAGACACAGAGATAGAGCACATGAGCAACAACCAAGCTTCCCGCCTATGCCTGCTTCGCTGCCCACTGGATCATAAGGTCAGCATTGCCCTTGCGCTGCCACTTGGCAAACTCCTACTCATCCTTCAACGCCCAGCTCCAGACCTCCTTTCCTTTGTAAAGCTTTCCCAAATTCCCAAAAGTGCAGCAATGTGCTCCCTCCCCAGGGGTCCTGTGGCACATTTTTAGGCCCAGGGTGAGCATCTCTTACAGCTGCCCATCTAGCGTCTGTTTCTCCTTTCCCTGCAATACTCCCCTAACCGTCCCGGGCAACCAAACCCCTCTCAAGTCTCGGTCCTCAAGGACTAGAGCAGAGCTGACAACACCCCTGATGACCTCAGGCCTGACCGATTGGAACACCACACACCCCTGGTCACCAGGACTGATTCAGGGAAAGGCATGTGTGAAGCAATCAGAGTCACTGTGATTAATTCCTGAAATTCTCCCCGCCCCCTCAACTCCAGAACTAGAGACAGCAAGGCTGATGTAAGTCTGGAGCTGATGGCAGCAGTCTGGTCCCCATGTGGAGTCTGTGAATGATGCCAAACAGAGGAAAGCAGAGCCAAGCAACAGGGAAAGACAGATTCTCAAGGACACCATCAGAGGCCCTGGATCTAGCCTCACCTGAAGGCCACACTACTTGAGAAACCTGTGCATCCAGGGAGAGTAGTTCCCCTGCTCCTGTGTCCTAGGTAGGCTCAGAAGACAGACATAACAAGCTTCCACAGGAAGCCACTTCAGGGAAGCCTCAGCCCCAGCCCGGTCTCTAGGGATACTGGGTCCTTCCTGGGGGGGCAGCTCAGGGCTGGGGTGTGGCCTTGGTGGGCGCAGAGGCTGAGTCATTGTTTTCCAAACATTTCTGCCCGGAGAGTGGACTGCAGGAACACACGAAGGAGGCAGAGCAGGAGGGCCATTTTCCAGATAACACCAGTTTCCCCTCAGAAACTGTTTTCTATCGCCTCCTCAGCATCTCCCGCTGTGGGGCAGAGCCTGGCTGCTTTGAAGCCAAAACCCTGAGCGGACCTCTCATGGCTACTTTCTTGTCAATCCTGTGCCGTCCCCTACGATGTCAAAAGGCTGTACCGGGCTCCACCCTGATTCCACAGCACCCCTGCCCAGAGTTAACAGGAAAGGAATCCCTGCTCTGGAAGCCAACCCCAGGAAGTGGAAGGAACCAGAACCTTGAGGAAGGGCCACGTCAGTTTGGGGTTTGTCCCGGGGAACCCTACTTTTTTGGAAAAGCCACTTCAGAGAAAACAAAACAAAATGAAACCGGACTTCTTACCGAGCACTGATTAAGGGCCGTGCCCTGTTCCAAGGGCAGCACGTGGACGAATCTGTTATTCTCCCAGGGAACCTGCGAGGAAGGGGCTCTTTTGCCCTCCTTTCACAGATGGGGAAACCGAGGCAGCAAGGGGTGACCCCGTTTGCATGAACTCACACGGCTAGTAGCCCACGAAGCTGGGGCCTGGGCCCCCCTTAGTGGCCATGCTACACTGCCTACACCGTTCCAGACAGCAGGACAAGAGAAACGGGCTTCGCTCATGAAGTTCTGGCAGGAAAATAACGCAAATGGCACAGATGAGAAGGAAATGGACCGGGAGTGGGGGCGGGGGGGAGCCTTAGTGGGGCTGCCCAGGGCACAGTCCAAGAGCAAGAGAGGGGAGAGTGTGGGCAAGGAAGCCAGCAGAAGCCACGTGGAAGGGGCAGCAGGGGAAGGCCAGGAGGAAGGAAGGGCTGAGGCTGCAGATACGCTCTGGGAAGCTTCGAGGAGGGCCTGGGCTCGCTCACGAGCCGGTGGGCAGAGCGCCAAAGGCTCAAGAGGATGAGAACCCTTTGGACAAACAGCAGCCTTCTCTCTGGGAGGGTGGTTCTGCCCTGGTCCCCAGCCTGGGCGGGTCTGGGATGAGTTGTATCAAAACTCAGAGGGGAGGGGCACGTGGTGGGCTCAGTCAGTGGAGCCTGTGACTCTTGATCTCAGGGTCATGAGTTTGAGCCCCACGTTGGGTGTAGAGATGACTTAAAAAAAAAAATCAGAGGGGAGAAGCCATGAGCAAAGAGGCCAAGGAGCAGATCAAGAGGGCCTAGTGGTCTTGCGGGCACGGCTGTCCTTACCATCAGCGGGGGTCACTGAGGGACTCTCTGCTCCCTGCCTCTTGCCCTGCCTCTGAGGACTGCAAGACTGGCTGGTGGGACTGAACGAGCTCCTCCCCTTCCGACCCAAGCAGGAGCCCCGGGTTCAAGCTTCAGCAATGCTCAGTGACACTGGCAGGTGTCTGCCTCCCTCTGGGCCTCGGTTTTCCCAGGTGTCAGGAAGGAGGGTGGGGCAAAGCGGGGTCAGCTCACTCAGTGCCCCTCAGGCACTCCAGGTAGGGACACCCTAGCCTTGGTCAGCCTCTTCCCAGGCCCCCTACCCTACCAAATGTCCCCTCGCTCCCAGCCTGGTTTGCCCAGCACAGACTCTGTCTTGCCTTCAAGGGGGCTGATGGAGATTCGAGCATAAAAACCCACACCCCGGAGGAGGCCCAGGAGAACTCTCCATATCATCTGGGCTTGAGCGAGGCTTCCTGCCGGAAGTGACGCCAAGCAAAGACTCGGAGGGTGAATGGCAGCGAGCTCCCTCCAAAGCACTGCAAGGCCTCCCATCTGCTTCTTTGGATGTTGGAATGAACAGCTTATGAATTAATTCTGACACAGGCCACAACACGGATAAATCCTGACGACATGAAGCTCAGTGAAACGAGCCAGTCACAGAAAGATGAATACCATGCAATTGTACTTCTAGGAGCTCCCTGGAGGAGTCACATTTGCTGAGACAGAGAGGAGATGGTGGGCGCAGGGTGGGGGAGGGGGCGGGGAGTCCGTGTTTCATGGGGACAGAGGTTCAGTTTGGGAAGAAAGTTCTAGAGACTGGTGGTGGGGGTGGTTGCACCACAGTGTGAGGGTACCACTGAACTAACAGTATACTTAAAAAGTGTTACAATGGAACATTTTAGGTTATCTATATTTTACCACAATTAAAAAAAAAACTGGAAAAGAACTTAGGAATGAAATCTTAGTAGATAAACCTGATGACAATGCGAAAAACTTGAAAAATTAAAAAGAAAAAGATATCACTCAGAGTCTTGTTCCCTTAGCCAACCTGGTGGCTGTTTTAAATCCACGTGAGTGAAAATGGATTCAGATTCAGATTTGAAGGGTTTACCTCAAACTCTTTTCCTTGGAAATGATGACAAATTGGCAAACCAGGCAGGGGCAGCTCACATGGGGGTCTGGAAGGCCCGCACCGGGGCTTAAATACAGTACTTTTATCGAATGCATACGAGGTGGCAAACCGTGGGCAGACACCGTATGTGGACCACAGCAAGGGACTCTCGGAACAATGCGATGAGGAAGGTGTCCCCATCTCCAAGAGACGAGGGTAAAGTAAGTTGTCCCGGGTCCCAGAGGGAGAGGGGCTACAGGGCAGGATTTGAGCCCAGGTGCTGCGAATCCACAGCCTGTCCTGTGAACCACTCCCTTATCATGCCTCTCCAAACTATGAGCTACTTCCCACCATCTAATCTTCAGATTCCACCTGACAATCTGGAATTTCTGCTTTTCCTGGAGAACCAGACCTGGCCAGCCGGGGCCTCTGTATCTGCACCGCAGTTATGACTGGGGCCCCTTTGCTTGCTTTATTTGCCCACCTGGTCCCTCTAGATGTTTGGATTTCTGACCCCAGCCTGGGAGAAAATCACTTGGCCCAGAGAGTAAAGCGAGTGAAGGCAAAGACCCCTGCTCGGGCGCCACTCACCTTGATGTGTCCAAGGCTCGGATGACAGTTGAGAGGAGCCGGCCATCCCTTGAAGTCACCTGCGCCACGTACTGGGGTGGCCCGAGGCCAGTGGCCTCCACGACCTTGGAGAAGGCAGGGCTGCCCGAGCAGTCACACAGGGAGCCAGGGAGGTGGCAGCAGTCACCCGTCGTCATGGCCACAGGGAGCCCTGTGTCCTCAGGGCCTGAGGCCCATGGTCCCAGGAGCCTGGGGAGAGGCCGGTAGGGAGGTTAAGGGCAAGAATATCGAGCCAAACACTGATCGGGGTTTGAATCCAGGTCTCGGAGCCTCAGTCGCCCAATCTGTAAAATGGGGGATTCAATGAGCTGCCACTTGTAACTCAGCCTAGGCCTGATGCACAGTAGGGGCTTGGTTTTATTATCTCTAACCCTCCTGGGAAGGGCCAGCCAGGTTCAGCCCTCAAGGCCTGTAGGCCACTCCCAGCATCACCTCTCCAGACCCGGTAAGGGCCCCGAACAGTTACTGAGTGCCTGCTGTGTGCCAGGCCTTGTGCTTGGGGCTTTTGTGGGCTAGAACCCTGCCCGCTGACCACCTAGACACTTGTCCTCCTTGGACCGGATTTCCGGGGCTGAGCTCACAGCATGTGAGCCTGCCTTGGAGTTGGGCAGAACTGAGCTAGAAACCCGGGCGAACAGACCAGGATGGGGCATCGTTTGATACCTCCTGGACACCTCAGGCCTTCAGGAAAACAACGCAGGCTGGGAAGGACTCGGGCAGCCTCTGTTCCTACTGGAGCAGGTAATCCAAGCCATGCCCGTGTCCTCGAGGAGAAGCAGTGGGAGATGGCCGGAGACTTAGGCAGCAACCTCAAGTCTTCTCTGGGTGGGGGGCTTCAGCACTATTCTCCCCCCTACTCTAGGGTCTGTTCCGCCAAAAGTAACCCTTGGCAGCCTCCACCCCCGTCCCAGAAGGAGCCAGTGAGACCTTGTGTGTTTCCCCTGAGAACTTCCTGGAAGTAATAGAGGCAACACAGGAACCCTGGAGCCAAGGGTCCCTGAGGTCTTATCCTCAGGCCTCTGTCTCCAGGAGCTGCAGTCCAGAGACGCCAGAAACACTCAGTGAGGCACCCCCTAGTCAGCTTTTACCAACCCCTGCCGGCCAAATCTGACACCTAAGACAGAAGGGGAAAAGCCAGAGTAAGTGATTGACTAACTCTTTGCACCAAGGCCATCATCTGCCCACGGATCAGCACCCTCTGAACAGTTCAGCCAGAAGCCTTCCTGGCCCACCGTGCCCTTCGGAGCCTCCACAGTTGGGCCGCTGCCAGCCAGATAAGCAAATATCAGCCCAGAGGCAGGAGAAGCAGGGAGGAAGACTGCTTGGCCCAGATAACATCCTCAGGGCAGCGGTGGCGGGGGGCCTGGCATGTTGTGTGCACTCCTATCCCTCCCGAGGAACTTCCGGCTCAGAGGTCAACAGGGAAGCCTCTGGGCTCATAGAGGGGAATCCATTCTTCTCACCCCTCCAAGCATCAGCCTTAACATTCCTGCAAGGAATTGGGCACTCCGAGAATCATCACAGCTCCCATATATTAAGTTCTGCCATTTCTGCTACTATTGGGGGGGGGCGGAGATTCATCAGTAAATCTGCTAAAGCAAGGCCTGAAAATCAAAATTATGACAGCAGCTACAGTTCGTTAAGGACCTACCGCATGCTGGGTACTGAGAAACTCGCTGAACTCTAAACAGTTGCCCTAAGCGTCCCCTTCAAAGATCATCTGCCTGGAGAGGCCGTCCCTGACCATCCTGGCCAAAGTGCCATTGGTGACCACATTATTGTGTTCGTGGAATGTGCCCCTCCCTGAAGTGCTCTTATTTCTTCACTCTCGGTGAGCTCTGGGAAGGGGGGACCAGGTTGGACATGCACTCTGTCATCCCTGGCATCTGCCCTGTGTTGGGCACAAAGTTGCTGCGTTTCATTTCTCAGCCCCTATTCTGTGTAAGAGCAAGGGGGAAGAACCCTCCTGACCCCCATACCTTGGTCTGCCAGGGCCCGTGGTGGGAATCAGGGATGTCTAGAGGCTAGAGGCTTGTGCAAACCACAGAAGCCTGGGCTTGGAAGGGGCTAAACTCAAGGCTGGACTCAGCTGTGGGACTGCTGGACTTTGCGAGTGAGCCGATGCCTCAAGTGAACTTGGCCCAATGCCTGGCGATAGATTTCACTGAGTCTTCACAACAAATCTATGACATAAATCTAATAATTACCCTCATTTGACAGGTGAAGAGACTGAGGCTCAGAGAGGGGCAGCTACTTGCCCAAGATCACACAGCTAAGAAGGGACAGGACCAAGATTTGACCTTAGACCAGTGAGTGGGTCTAGGACTCAGAAGACCTGGATTTTTTAAAATCTTGACTCTGTCACTGATGCCGTGTGTCCAGGAACAAGCCACTTTGCCTCTCTGGGCCTCATCCTTCTCTTTTGTCAAGTAAGTTGATGGAGCTGGGCGCCTGGGTGGCTCAGTTGGTTAAGTGACTGCCTTCGGCTCAGGTCATGATCCTGGAGTCCCGGGATCGAGTCCCGCATCGGGCTCCCTGCTCAGCGGGGAGTCTGCTTCTCCCTCTGACCCTCTTCCCTCTCATGCTCTCTCTCATTCTCTCTCTCAAATAAATAAATAAAATCTTAAAACAAAAAAAAAAGTAAGTTGATGGGAGCTGATGGACTTTGCTGAGGGACTCTTGAGAAGGAGCCCCCAGGCTCAATTCCTCCGGCAAAGCTTGTCCTTGTCTAGGCCCACCTGGGGTGGCGCTGAGGCAAAGCAACCTGTCCAGTGTCCTTTCCCTGAGGGCAAGAAACTACAGGAAGAGGAGTCAGAGGGCCCTAACGGTGCCCATTCAGGCAAACTGCTTCACTCTCTGGCCCTCAGTTTTCTCGCCTGTAAAATGAAGGTCGTAACAATTCCCCGCTCATACACCCCTAATTATTAAGAAGTCAGTAAATATTCTTCTTAAGTAAGTCTTCTTAACGATTACTGTCATCAGCTTACAGAGCTGTTAGAGGGTTTGATGAGACAAGGCACAGCCAAAACCTGGCACACAGTAAGTGCGCACTAAATGCTGCTATTATTTTTAGAAGAAATGTGGAGCCTGTAAAATGCATTCATTCCTCTTCGCTCACCAGAGAGAGGCTCCTGTGTGTCCTGCAGTCCTTGCATGGCCCTGCATTGGAGGCCGGGTTTAAGCCCAGCTCTGCTCTCGTTGGATGTATGGCCCCAAGAGAAAAGACTTCTCTGAGCCTCAATTTCTTCATCTAACAGGGAACATTTCTAGTAGTACTTGCACCTATTAAGGTCCCTAGAGGACTAAATAAGAGAATCATATAAATTCTGGCTACCCCGTTTTGAGCACCCACTAACAGCCAGGCACTCTGCTAAGCAAGTCCTTTGTAGACAGTCCCTGGGTCATTATAATATTTACTATTTTCCAGGCAAAGCCCCGCTGGAAGGAGGTTGAGGAAGGCGCTTACTGACAGCCTACTCTGTGCAAGGGTCTTTCCTCATCCGCCGCCTTCTGAATTCTCCCAACAAGCCCCATTAGGTTGGCGCTGGGATGACCCGGTTTCACAGCTGAGGAAACCGAGGCTCGGAGAGGCACCTACTGTGTGCCGGGTCCTGGGGACCTCCCGCCGTCCTCGAGACGGGAATTGCGATACCTCGTTCCGGAGAAGGCTGAGGCCGAGGGTCTGAACCTGATCGTCCCGCTCGGGAGCCAGGCTCGGGCCTCGAACCCGGGGCCGGCCGGCGGACCCGCGCCCCCCCCAACCCCACCCGCCCGTCCGCCCGTGCCTACCTGACCCGCGGCCGGGCCGGGCGGCCGCGCAGGCCCCTCCACTAGCCCCGGCCCCGGTCCCGGCCCGGCCGGTCCCGTCAGCGCCGCCAGCTCTGCTCCGGCCGGCACCTGCGTCCGGACACCGCCCGCCGACCCGACGGTGCCACGGACCAATGGCGACCGCCTCTCGCCCGCACTAGCCAATCCCCGTGCGCGTCCCGCCCTGAGAGGCGGGGCCGGAGGCGACAGGGACGTCCTGGGCCGCACAGGCCCCGCGGCGCCGCAGCTGCTGGCTCCGCCCCCACCGCGTCTTAACTCCGCCCCCAGCTCCGGCTCCACCCCCAACCCTGATCCCGCCCCATCCCGGCGGGGGGCACGAGCGGGGTTGATGGCGCCACCTGCCGACGACCAGTGCTAGCTAACTGTTACAGACTTGAACGTGACACCCAGCTAAGGGATTTTTAAGTGTTCATCACCTCCCATATGCTTCTCATTAATTCTGGGAGGGAAAGAGAGAGGAACCGTATGATCACACTTTACAGAGGGAAAACGGCAGCCAAGAGAGGTTAGGGGGCCGTGGAAGAGCCTAAAGCCAACATCATTTATTCATCATTCACTTGCTCATTCATTCAGGCAATAGGTTCATTCACTAGATGTAATAAACATCAAAAAGAGGGCCTGTTATGAGCCAGGCACTGTACTAGGCTCTGGGGACACAGGGTTGAATAAGACAAATACTGTTGCCTTCGTGGACCTTAACCTAGGGAATTAACCAATTGTGTAATTAATTCTTTTTTTTTTAAAGATTTTATTTATTTATTTGACAGAGAGAGACACAGCGAGAGAAGGAACACAAGCAGAGGGAGTGGGAGAGGGAGAAGCAGGCTTCCCGCGGAGCTGGGAGCCCGATGCGGGGCTCGATCCCAGGACACTGGGGATCATGACCTGAGCTGAAGGCAGACGCCCAACGACTGAGCCACCCAGGTGCCCTGTAATTAATTCTTTTTTTTTTTAAAGATTTTATTTATTTATTTGACAGAGAGAGAGAGAGCAAGAGCAGGAACACAAGCAGGGGGAGTGGGAGAGGGAGAAGCAGGCTCCCCGCAGAGCAGGGAGCCTGATGCGGGACTCGATCCCAGGACCTGGGATCATGACCTGAGCCGAAGGCAGACGCTTAACGACTGAGCCACCCAGGCGCCCGCCTGTAATTAATTCTTAATTACAAAAGTAATGAATTGTAGCAAGTGAGGGGGACATATCATGGAATAATTTGGAAAGTCCAAAACTACTTCCTTGAGGAAAAAGCAATTGAACTGACAACTGAGACAGAGCAGAGGTGAACTAAGAAAAAAGAGGGGAGAAGCAGCCCAGGCAGAGAGTTCAGGCACATGCGAAGGGCCTGAGGTAGGATGGAGAATTCCCTCAGTACTCCTCTCCCCTCCTGCCCTGCCTTTATGAAATATATGGAGCAATTCGATTAACTCAGTTACATTCTGTTGTGTTGTACTAGCTTTATTTTTCAAAAGTGAAAAGATAAATCATAACATTGTTTAAAAGGTTAGAAGAAGGAGGACAGGGACAGAGATACAAGTAGACTTTTAAAAATATACCTTGTTTTATATATTTGGCTTTACAACCATGTAAAATATTGTTTATAATTATAAAACAAATTTTAAAGTGTAATGGTAGCCCTAAAGACGAAAATAAAACAGAAACTTCTGTATCCAGTTGGTGACAAAACAACAGAGAGATGAACGTCTAGTGACTTTAAAACGACAATTTAACCCTACATACCACTACTATATTGTTGATGGTGATGTTGCAATGTAGGGCTTGAATTCACAGCCCTAAGACCAAGAGTCACAAGCTCTGTGGACTGAGCCAGCCAAGCACCCTGAATCCTTTATTTTATTTATTTTTTTAAAGATTTTATTTATTTGTCAGAGAGAGAGAGAGAGAACACAAGCAGTGGGAGCGGCAGGCGAGGGAGAAGCAGGCTCCCTGCCGAACAAGGAGCCGGATGCAGAATTCCATCCCAGGATCCTGGAATCATGACCTGAGCCGAAGGCAGACATTTAACCAACTGAGGCACCCAGGCGTCCCCTTTGATTTTTTAAAATATTTTCTTTTTTTCTTAAATGTGTTTGTTTGTTTGTTTGTTTACTTTTAAGTAATCTCGACCCCCAATGTGCGGCTTGAACTCAGGACTTCAAGATCGAGAGTTGCATGCTCTGCCGACTGAGCCAGGCAGGCACCCCTTCACTGTATATTTTTCTTTGTTTTTCAGTGTATATTTCTCAAGTATAAGCACACTCTTCCACATAACCACAGTACCACCTTCAAAATCAGGAAATTATTATTGATCCAATATTACCACATAGTTCCCAAATACCATTCAAAGTTTCCAATAAAGTCCTTTAAAGCTCCAGCATCCATTCCCGATCACACTTTGTATTTTTCTACTCCCAGTGTCGTTCATGCTGCAATAGTTCGTCAATCTTTGTCTTTCATGACCTTGATACTTTTGAAGAGTATGAGCTAGTTATTTTGTAGAAAGTTCCTCAATTTGCGTTTGTCTAATGTTTTGTCAGGATTTGTGCATTTGGAACAGGAACTGCAGAAGTGATAACGTGTTCTCAGTGCAGATGCAAGGAAGAATAGAATGTTGATTTCTTCCATTACTGAGTATGCTAGCCTGGTTAAAATGGTGTTTGCCAGGATGCCTGAGTGGCTCAGTCGGTTAAGTGTCTGTCTTTGTTTGTTTGTTTTTTTAAAGATTTTATTTATTTATTTGAGAGAGAGAGAGAATGAGAGATAGAAAGCACGAGAGGGAAGAGGGTCAGAGGGAGAAGCAGACTCCCTGCTGAGCAGGAAGCCCGATGTGGGACTCGATCCCGGGACTCCAGGATCATGACCTGAGCCGAAGGCAGTCGCTTAACCAACTGAGCCACCCAGGGGCCCTAAGTGTCTGCCTTTGACTCAGGTCACGATCCCAGGGTCCTGGGATAGAATCCTGCATCCGGCTCCTTGCTTAACAGGGAGCCTGCTTCTCTCTCTGCCTGCCATTCCCCCTGCTTGTGCTCACATGCTCTCTCTCTCTGACAAATAAATAAAATCTTTAAAAATAATAAATAAAATAAAATGGTGTCTGCCAGGTCTCCAGCCTGAGATAGTATGTTGTACTTGTCAATAGTGCTTTATGGGAAAATACTTTGAATTAAATATCTGGTTCCTCAACAAACCTTCACCCACTAGGTTTATTAACCATTGATGACACTTGACTGAATCAATGTTTTGTTTTGTTTTAATTTTGTTGTTGTTGTGATTACTTTGGCAAAGAGGGTTTTATTTTTACTTACAAGAATTCTGCAGGAGGACGGCTGCTGGCTTTGGCTTGGTCAAATGATGACTCTGAGAGTCTCTTGGCCTTTTCCTCATGGTAGTGAGATGGCTGCTGTGGTTCCAGGCATCACATCCTCAATCAAGGCAGGAAGAAGGGAGTGGCGTGGAGGTGTTAGCCATGGCTGTCTTTTTTTTTTTTTTTTTTTAATCAGATAATGGTTGCCAAAAGATGATTTTTTTTCCTTTTATACTGGCTCAACAAAATGTTCCAAGGTAGTTTTTTCTTGTATTTTTACCTGCCTCAGCTCTGGAAACAACCATTTCTCTAAGGAGCCCTGGTTTTAATGGGGAACAATATTTAAAAACCAAGATCTGGGTGCTAGGTGTGCTCACAGCTATCGTGTTATCAATTCTTACTTTCCTCATTCTAATACATATGTATGTACCTATATATAGACATTTATCTACCTATAATCTATCTGTCCATCCATCCATCACCAATCCATCTTTAAAACCATGAGTGCACACCAATGCCCCTAATTCTAAACCAACACCAAAGTTTATCCCAGACACTTCACGTTTCTAACTTCCTTCCCTAACTCCCGTGATCCTAAATGCATTTACTCATTTTTCCACTCCCCCCAGCCCATGTGAAACCTAACTCCTAGATACACTAGTCAAAACTCAGTCCCAGGGGCGCCTGGGTGGCTCAGTCGGTTAAGCGGCTGCCTTCGGCTCGGGTCATGATCCCAGGGTCCTGGAATCGAGCCCCACGTCGGGCTCCCTGCTCAGTGGGGACTCTGCTTCTCCCTCTCCCTCTGCCTGCCTCTCTGCCTACTTGTGCTCTCTCTCTCTCTCTCTCTCTGTCAAATAAATAAATAAATAAAATCTTTAAAAAAAACTCAGTCCCAGGCGCCTGGGTGGCTCAGCTGGTTAAGCGACTGCCTTCGGCTCAGGTCATGATCCCGGAGTCCCGGGATCAAGTCCCACATCAGGCTCCCTGCTCAGGGAGGAGGCTGCTTCTCCCTCTGACCCTCCCCCATCTCATGTACTCTCTCTCTCTCATTCTCGCTCTCTCAAATAAATAAATCTTTTAAAAAATAAATAAATAAATAATAAAAAATAAAAAAAACTCAGTCCCAGATATATACCTCCTACCGAATTCCACTCCCATTGGGCACATTGGTTGAAAGTTTGGCCCCAACAAAGGAGCTGAATCCATGCGTTTTACTAAAAAAAATAATCAGTCATTTTTGAAGGCTTCTCGGGAACCAACTCAAAATCTTGAAAATTACGAAATTCGGAAATTGACAAGAAAATTAAGTATTTATGCTGACCTTTACAATCTGTACCTCAGGGTAACCATATTAGATGAAGGGAAACTTCTCTTTATAGATGTATTCCAGAAATAAATGCAGAAAGCTAGATTTTGAATTTCATAACCCCTAATGGATTGTGAATCTAGGTGATGCTTTGCAGCAGCTGCAAACATCACAAATAAGAGACATGCTGATGTCATCTGTCTCCTGGTGTGTGCACACACCACCTACAGAGCACTCAGCCCTAAATCTGATCAATCTCTAGATCTAACTATTCATTTACAGGAAATGCAGGGGACAAAGGCACATGGGAAATAACACCATGGCCCATAGAGACAAAAAGCAGATTGGTGGTTGCCAGGGACTGGAGAAGGGGAAATGGGGAGGAACTGCTTAATGGATATGAGATTTCTTTTTGGAGTGATGAAAAAAAATTCTGAATTACAGTGTGGTGTTT